ACCGGATACGGTCCCACCAGGTCCATTGAAAGAACATAGGCTGAGCTGTCGGCATGCGACCTCCGATGTGGGCTGTCCACTCCTGCAAGCTCCATGCACCGACGGCAATCTCGTCGATATGGATGATGATGCGCCTTGACATGCTGCTTCCACTCCTCAACATTCAGCTTGTGGATGCGCTGAGCCAGGCATTGACTTCGTTGATGAAGATAAGCCCTCAGCGCCTCTTTGAGTGCCATCACCAAACCAGGTGCCCAGCTCGCCCAGTCCCTTGAGGCCTCCATGGATTCCTGCAGACCCTTTGGAAGCGGGTCTGTTCGCCGAGATGAATCTCTCAAGCCTTCCAACTGTTCCACTCCAGGCAGGTTCCCAAGGATCGTAGTTGGCTTCCTTCGGGCATGCCCCATCTGGGATTGATCGAAGCTCACCAACTTCAGGCCCCCCAGTCCGACCATCTCCTTCATCTCAGGGAAGTTCCAAAAGGACGGAAGGTTGTGTGCCGCCTCAGCTCCCAAGTAGGCCATAGGATCCTCTGGAGATTCCAATGCAAAAGCCGTGGGAAGCGATTGAAGCTCTGGAACCTGCATGCGCTTCTCCTCAGCCTTGATGAAGAGTCCAATCTGCTTGAAGAGCAGGGCTGTGTCAGAGTTGACCCGGTGAAGGTCCCAGGTTGAAAGACCTTCCAGGGAAAAACGCCATCCATCTCGCCCCCTCAATGGTGGCGGTCCCGGCTGGCGTTGCCTCAGCCTTGAAGTCGTGCGACAAGGTGGGCCACCCAGGATCGCGGCAATCTTTCCAGCACAGGCCAACTCCCAAATGAAGGCCCAAATCGATGCCTCATGTAGATCAACTCCTTGGAGAGTGTCAATGGTGAGGACAACATAGCCCTCCTGTTCAAGCTCAGCCCACTGCTTGGAGTTCCGACCAGAGAACAAGTGCAGGATGACTCCACGAGAGCGCCATAGCCTTCGTCGTCGATGACGGTTCCAAGGCAGGCTGGCAGCATGATCCCGCCATGAATCGCCCTGCCCCTTCATAAACTTCCAGACTGAAGATGGCACCTGTGGAAAGCGATTCGCCCACCAATTGAATTCATCATCTCTGACTTCAACATCGTTCTGCTGCATCTTCTCCAAGTCGGCCAGCAAATCCAGACCCTCAGTTCGAGGCATCACAGGGCAACCACCCCTCAAGCTGCACTTCAATGGCCCCCGTGTTGGATGATGGATCACAATGCTATCTCGGCGCCAGGTGATCCTGTAGTCAGCCGCCACCAGCCATGCCAAAGGGATGATAGGCTCCACCGGCCCCTTACTGAGCAAGGTCTGATGCTTGGGGTGCTTGTAGAGCACTGTTGACCCACAAGCCAGCTCCACCTTCGTGGCAATCAGATCCGGCTCCTCCTCGGGCTTAGCCTGTCGAAGCCCATGAGTGGCACCTCCATCCAACAAGGCATACTCACCAGGCCCACCAAAGTTCCCTTCTCCCACGGACTTCATCCGCACGGCCTTCAAAGACCTGATGGACTTCAGGAGGCTTGTAGCTTCTCGCATCAGCTCTGCTGCCGCCTCTGTTGAAGGCTCACCCATTGGCTCCGTCGTGGTGGAGTCTCCACCCTGGGTCCCCTCCGAAGCTCCACCAGAGGCTGTGTTGGTCACCTCCTTGGGCTTCAGATCATCTCCATCAACTGTCTTCAACTTCTGAGAGTCCCCGGCGGAGCCTTTCACAGCCGGCTTAGGCGTCGCCTTCACCTTGGAAACCTTCTTGGGTTGTAGGCCATCACCCATCGGACCACCCGATGGAGTTGAGGTAGAAGTCGAAGTAGATGAGGTTTTGGCAGTGCAGTCCTTTCGAAGATGCGCCGAGCTCCCACAATTGAAGCACCGACCCTTCATGTCAGACGTCTCGTGAAGGAACGTGCACTGTGCCCCACGTTTGCACCCTTCAGGGGTCTTCCAAAACTTGCATGGAGACTTCGAAGTAGTCCCTGTAGGCGCACTCGTCGTCGACGTTGGCACCTCCAACCCAGCCATAGCCTTCAGTGACGTGGCCCCCTGAGCTCCAACCGTCGTGGCCTTCAAGCCAATCCCAAGGCTCAGCTCCTCCGCCTCAGACTGAAGGTACTCAGCGTACTGCTCGATGGATGGGGCCATAGGCCTGATGTCCACTCCAAGCTTCTGCCTCACCGAAGCCACTCGGTATGCCAGCTGCGTGCCACCAAGCCTTCCCAACGCATCTGCAAAGCGGTGCAAGACTCCACCCAAGATGACCGGATCCGGCAGCGCTAGATTCAACTCCAACGACCTGCTCATCAATCTTCTCCACCTTCGAAGTCCACCCAGCAAGTCCGGTGCGCCAGCTGCCACCTTTGGCTCCGTGAGCTGCTTGAGGATGCTCACCCTTTCTCACCCTTTCAGAGCTCCCACCCGGTTGGAAGATAGTCCACAGCCTGTACATGATGCCTGTCACCGTCATAGTTCGGCTGGCAATCAAGTCCTGCTTGATGAGCTCCGGGATGCACTTCAGCAGCATCGGCACCACCCTCTGCTCCAAGCGTAGGTGCACCTCAGAGCGCTGGATCTCCAAAGGTCGAAGTCGGATCCTTTCCAAGGGAGTCGATGTGAGCCACCGGTCATAGAGGTTTGAGGCTTCCCTCAAGATTTCACTCCACCACCCACGGGCTGATCCAGCAACATCTCCAATCATTGGAGTGACCACCGTGATCCAGTCTCCAAATTGTAAGGCCCACTGCTCTGAACCTGGCTGTGGAAGTAGAGGAAGATCAGAGCCTCTCAGCTGCTCCATAGGCGATGCAGCTCCTTGTTGTTGATCTGGTCCTCCAAGTCCAGGGGGTCTCACTACCGAGGTAGTTCCTGATGTACCACCACCTCCAAAAGACGCCATAGGGCCTGAGGCATTCCAATCACCAGTGAATTGACCACCACCGTGTGGCCCAGCAGCGTACCCTTGTGAGTTCGCCGTTGATCCCATGCCCCCACAAAGTCCACCAGCATGAAGGCCACAGTAGGAAGCACCTGCTCTGCCATGAAGTCCAGGAGATTGGCCACCAGGAATTCCAGGTGAATGCACTGCCATCGGTGACACCGGTTGGCTCCAAGTGATCCCACATCCTTGACCAACACCTTGTGCACCATGTTGATGTCCATCCAATCCAACTTGACCACGTTCAGCAAGATGAGAAGGTGCTAGGTGTCCAGCGGGATGCATAGCCAGTGAAGGTGTAGTTGCCGACCCCTGCAAGGCTGGCATCGGAGGCACCGACCCTGTAGTCGCACCAGCTCCACTTGAGGCTGTATGGTAGGACCGAATCTCCCCACCTTCACCTTCTTCTCCACGAAGTTTCTTCGCCTCTCTAACGAAGCTCTCTTCGGCCTCCTTCATGATGCGCAGTCTCAACTCCTCGACAGACTTCTCTAGGGACGGTTGAGACAACGTCCCAATGGCCAAGGCCTGCCCAGGACCTGCGCCATTCATCGTCCCTTGGGCCTGCCCAGGACCCCCATGTAGAGCTCCTGCACCAAGGGCCTGCCCAGGGCCTCCATGTAGAGCTCCAGCACCACAGGCCTGCACAGGGCCTCCATGTAGAGCTCCTGCGCCAAGGGCCTGCTCAAGGCCAGCACTACCGCAAGCAGCCTGCCCAGGGCTTGCACCGGAATGCCCATGTCCAGCAACCCCACAGCCAGCAGGGCCAAACGTCACAGGTGCCCCTGCAAGAGGCGGCAAGGATTCTGGTCTTGCCACATCAGCGACCTGTTCCAGAACTGCAGCTCGCTGAACTCCAGCGCTCCAAAAGGCGTTGACTCCAGGAGGCACTGCCATCACCCCAGCGCCACCTCGCTCTTGGCCAAACAGGCCAGTAGATGCCACCAGCAAGGACGTCCCATCACGGTGCACGAACCCTTGTTCCCGGCCAGCATCACTAGAAAGGTTCCGAGCCAGCTCCAAACCAGCTCCAGCAGCACTAGGTCCTCCATGAAGCCCTCGTTCAGCTGCCACGGCAGGGCGAATGTCATCATCTTCGTCCAGCCTTCGTCGAAACACCGTCTGAGCTTCATCCTGCCCAGACTCATGAAACAGCGGAGCAAGAAGGCCATCAGGTCCTAGAGGTTCTGCATCAAGTTGGAGTGAGGTCACCTGCCCTTGTGGTCCTTCAGTTCCACCTTGTCCACGACCTTCATCTCGTCGTGGCTCTGGTGTCGAAGCGGCCACGTCCCCCTCAGTCACCTTCAGTCGTCGGACCTCGGGCACTTGGGGAGCCTCCAGCTTTGACCTCCTCTCCATCTCGATCAGCCTATCCAAGCGCTGATCTGCCGTCTCGTGGTGCTGCCGGCGCCTGCGCTCCATTACGGCACCGCACACCCAAGCCAGTGAAGGCTTGGGCTCATAACCTGCGAAAGGCAGGTGCAAAAGTCTGCCCTTTTCTTGAGCCATGTGCAATCAGTAAGATCCTTGTGCAGGGGCCATGCTATGAACGGTCGTCCAAACTGCATGCCATGTCCTACAGTAGACAGCACTTCTTGATTTGTGCGTGTCATTCTTTGAAAACGGCACCACACTCCCAAATGACCACTGTTCTTGGCAAACGACTCGAGAAATTCACTGCTAAGGCTCCTGCTTGCACTTTTGGCTGTTGTGTTTGTAGAATTCTGAGGTTTTTTGGTCCGCAATGGCAACCTGCCATTTTCGTGGAGACATCCTATGGATGGAGTGTTGCATGATCATCTGAGTCACAATCTCAACACCCCGGACGCCCAATGTGCTCTCCAGAGCTTCGGCATCTTTCAGCGCTGCGATCACGTCCGGAAGCTGCTGTACAAGAGTCACGCAGAGCTAGCGGGCGTACGCACACTTTGCACACGCAATGGCATCTGACAATCATTCTGTGAAACTTGACTTGCCCACGTCCAAAAGAGAGCCCATAAGTGACTCACAAATCTCACAAGCTCATAAGTCTCCCGCTCCCCAAGCAGCTTAAGCACGTTGCTTCTGGTACTCAGACTGAAACTCTTTCAAGAAGGCTGTGGCTGCATGACCTAAGGCCCTGCAAATCTGGCCGGCCTTCCCAGCAGTGGTGCCATCATCTGGAAGCTGCGCACACCAAGCACCGCCCACAGCACCCAGGGGAATTCCAAAGGAACTCACAATGGGCAAAGTTGTGAGCGTCAGCCCACCAGCAACGGCACCAATGGCACTAGAACCAAGGAGGATCCGAACACCACCAGCTCGATCGATGAGATCTGCAATGCTTTGGGGTGACGAAAGAAGTGCTGTCATCTGAGGTGGGCCAAAGCTAGCTCCTAACACCAGGAAAATGAGTGAAAGGGCACAAGCCTTTCGTAACTGTCGCTTGTTTGAGCGCATCATCACGAATTGAACTACAAGAACTACAAGAACTACAATATGCTACAATCACCTGAGACTCTATGCTGCAAGACAAACGCGATTGGCATCATTCCATCAGTTTAACTACTCCACCATGATTGAATGCCAACACAGTCGCAGTAAAAAGAATGGAAAAAGTCAAGCATATGTCAAAATATTGTCAAATTGGCCAACACAAGAACTGCTCCAAGACTGAGGAAAAGAATGGAAAGAGCAATTTGAAAACGAGAGAGGTCAAACCCTTGAACTACAGAAATTCATCGCAGCTCTCAACAGCTCTAAACATTGCAGCGCTGACGTTGCTGTCGGAATCTTTCGAGTATCTGCCACCGTTTTGGCAGCCTGCCAGCAAAAACAACTCTCGATAACCCTCGAGATCCAATGCAGCAGTTCATCAGTTGAACAACGCAACTGGTGGCTGACTCGAGCATTTGTCAATGACCAGCTTGAGTCTTGTGGTTCATCCAAAATGAAGGTCGAATCAGTTTGAAGCAAAACATTGCAAAGTTTGAGCCAATCAAACTCTCTGTCTCCCCCAGACCTCCTGCTCTTTTTCTGGTACCAGTAGAAGCAAGTCATCTGGCAAAGGGTTGTTATCAAGAAAATTTCCAGGAACATCTAGCAGTGGGGAAAATCCACCAAGAGCTGAAGAACCAACGTTCACAAGAAAAGACACTGAAGCACTTGATACTTCAGCAAAGATAGACATGTGATGAATGAAATGAATGAAATGAAGCAAATGTGAACTGTACACCAGAACTTCTTGCGTCCTGCCTATAGCATCAAGGATTGCCTGGATGCTCCGTCTTGCTGTGCGCACTGAGGCAGTTGGCACACGATCCTCAAACCTAGGTTGGATCGTCGGGCGCTGGGATATGTTAGTGGACGGTCACAGATGCCATATATGTTCATCTCTTCATCTAACAACGTTCCATTGGATGTGTGAACGGAAAGGGATATCCTCAACTTGCTTGGAAACTGGCGTCCAGTTCAGGTGAATAAATGGATGGATTGCAAACCAACCCTGCGCCTTGACATCAGCAAGCACTGAGAGTCTTCCTGGAAGATGTGCCAATTGGATGGTAACAATATGGTAACAATATGGTAACAATATGCAACAAAAAATAAGGAACCCATTTGGACCCCTTATGACCCGTTCAGTCAGTATACAGGTCATGCACAACATGCCGTGTTTCAACAAGGTTTCAGGCAGAAAGTCCTCATCAAGCGCTCGCCGAACGCGATCGTACTCCGTATCAGCTAGGGACCAATCACTCGAAGTGTACTGCGACACGGTCAGGGCTGGGGATGACAGTGACACTGAGAATGCCTTGCAAGGATAATTCATGTAACACTGTCTCTATCAAAAGAAAACTAAAATCTACATAAATACACACCAAGATTATCCAAATATTGTATATACATATAACTGTAGATATTATTTATATAACAGAATATATTTTAAAAATATATATATATATGTGTAATGTAATATAATATAGTATAATATAATATAATATGATACAGTGCAATATAATATAATATATCGTGTTTATTCTATTACTTATATTGTATTGTATTATGTTATACGTACATTATATATCATCTACCCTATATTATATATTATATATCATATATGAAACATTATAAATCATATAATATATATATACAATACAATATAATATATATTATACATTATATATTATAGTTTATATACTATATACTATACATTATACATTATATATTGTATATTACAAATTAAAAACTATATATTGCATAGTGTAATATTGTATATTATATTATATATATTGCATATTATATATATTATATATTATATATTATATATATATATATTATATTATATATGTTATATAAAATATCATATCATATCATATTATATCATATCGTATTACATTATATTACATCATATTATATTATATGAAATTATAGTATATCATATTATGTTGTATTATAATATATTATACCATATTATAGTGTATTATATATTTACATGTATGTATGTATGTATGTATGTATGTATGTATGTATGTATGTATGTATGTATTGATGTATTGATGTATTCATATGTGTATGCATTTGTATTTATATGTCTATATATTTATAGTTCTATAAGTTTACAATTATATTTATATATATTGAGAAATATTTATATATATATATATCCGCCGACCCCGGCAGACGCAAGGGGGAGCGCGCCAGGGAATAATACTTTTGACTCTTGTTTCGGACTACTACTACTACTACTACTACTACTACTACTACTACTACTATTTAAAGGTAGCCAAACTTCATATTCATAGCAGCAGGAAGAGGAAAAAGCCGCCAAAATCATCATTTTCTATGGATTTCAGAAGTTTCCGTTAGGCATTTTGGGGGTGCAATTTTGGGGCTTCTCCGTCCTTCAGAGGCATGGTGTTTCGCCCCCGGGAGGTGATTTTTTCCATGGTGTTTTCCTATTTGGGGACCGGATGTTTAGGTAGCTACTGTTCATGGCAGCAGCAAGAGGAAAAAGGAGCCAAAAGCATCATTGTCTATGGGTTTCAGAAGCCACGTTAGGCATTTTCGGGGTGCAATTTTGGGGCTTCTCCGTCCTTCAGAGGCATGGTGTTTCGCCCCCGGGAGGTGATTTTTTCCATGGTGTTTTCCTATTTGGGGACCGGATGTAAAGGTAGCTAAAATTCATGGCAGCAGCAAGAGGAAAAAGGAGCCAAAAGCATCATTTTTTATGCGTTTCAGAAGTCACGTTAGGCATTTTCGGGGTGCAATTTTGGAGCTTCTCCGTCCTTCAGAGGCATGGTGTTTCGCCCCCGGGAGGTGATTTTTTTCATTGTCTTTTCCTATTTGGGGACCGGATGTAAAGGTAGCTAAAATTCATGGCAGCAGCAAGAGGAAAAAGGAGCCAAAAGCATCATTTTCTATGGGTTTCAGAAGGGACGTTAGGCAGTTTTGGGGCTCGATTTTGGCACCGTTCCGTCCTTCAGGGCCACTGTGTTTCCCTGTCCGGCAGCGTGCGTTTTCAGCTTCGGGAGGAAGAGCAGCAGCAGCAACAGGAGCAGCAGGAGGGTTCTATGTCTCACTATGTCTCATTAATGTACAAACAGCGGTACAAAAAATGGTCGAAAACTATTGTTTTTCTAGGGTTTCAGAAGGGACGTTAGGCAGTTTTTGGGCTCGATTTTGGCGCCGTTCCGTCCTTCAGGGCCACTGTGTTTCCCTGTCCGGCAGCGTGCGTTTTCAGCTTCGGGAGGAAGAGCAGCAGCAGCAACAGGAGCAGCAGGAGGGTTCTCTGTCTCACTATGTCTCATTGTACAAACAGCGGTACAAAAGATGGTCGAAAACTATTGTTTTTCTAGGGTTTCAGAAGGGACGTTAGGCAGTTTTGGGGCTCGATTTTGGCGCCGTTCCGTCCTTCAGGGCCACTGTGTTTCCCTGTCCAGGCAGCGTGCGTTTTCAGCTTCGGGAGGAAGAGCAGCAGCAGCAACAGGAGCAGCAGGAGGGTTCTATGTCTCACTATGTCTCATTGTACAAACAGCGGTACAAAAAATAGTCGAAAACTATTGTTTTTCTAGGGTTTCAGAAGGGACGTTAGGCAGTTTTTGGGTTCGATTTTGGCGCCGTTCCGTCTTTCAGGGCCACTGTGTTTCCCTGTCCGGCAGCGTGCGTTTTCAGCTTCGGGAGGAAGAGCAGCAGCAGCAACAGGAGCAGCAGGAGGGTTCTATGTCTCACTATGTCTCATTAATATACAAACAGCGGTACAAAAACTGGTCGAAAACTATTGTTTTTCTAGGGTTTCAGAAGGGACGTTAGGCAGTTTTTGGGCTCGATTTTGGCGCCGTTCCGTCCTTCAGGGCCACTGTGTTTCCCTGTCCGGCAGCGTGCGTTTTCAGTTCGGGAGGAAGAGCAGCAGCAGCAACAGGAGCAGCAGGAGGGTTCTATGTCTCACTATGTCTCATTGTACAAACAGCGGTACAAAAACTGGTCGAAAACTATTGTTTTTCTAGGGTTTCAGAAGGGACGTTAGGCAGTTTTTGGGCTCGATTTTGGCGCCGTTCCGTCCTTCAGGGCCACTGTGTTTCCCTGTCCGGCAGCGTGCGTTTTCAGCTTCGGGAGGAAGAGCAGCAGCAGCAACAGGAGCAGCAGGAGGGTTCTCTGTCTCACTATGTCTCATTGTACAAACAGCGGTACAAAAATGGTCGAAAACTATTGTTTTTCTAGGGTTTCAGAAGGGACGTTAGGCAGTTTGGGCTCGATTTTGGCGCCGTTCCGTCCTTCAGGGCCACTGTGTTTCCCTGTCCGGCAGCGTGCGTTTTCAGCTTCGGGAGGAAGAGCAGCAGCAGCAACAGGAGCAGCAGGAGGGTTCTATGTCTCACTATGTCTCATTGTACAAACAGCGGTACAAAAATGGTCGAAAACTATTGTTTTTCTAGGGTTTCAGAAGGGACGTTAGGCAGTTTTTGGGCTCGATTTTGGCGCTGTTCCGTCCTTCAGGGCCACTGTGTTTCCCTGTCCGGCAGCGTGCGTTTTCAGCTTCGGGAGGAAGAGCAGCAGCAGCAACAGGAGCAGCAGGAGGGTTCTCTGTCTCACTATGTCTCATTGTACAAACAGCGGTACAAAAATGGTCGAAAACTATTGTTTTTCTAGGGTTTCAGAAGGGACGTTAGGCAGTTTTGGGGCTCGATTTTGGCGCCGTTCCGTCCTTCAGGGCCACTGTGTTTCCCTGTCCGGCAGCGTGCTTTTTCAGCTTCGGGAGGAAGAGCAGCAGCAGCAACAGCAACAGCAGGAGGGTTCTATGTCTCACTATGTCTCATTGTACAAACAGCGGTACAAAAAATGGTCGAAAACTATTGTTTTTCTAGGGTTTCAGAAGGGACGTTAGGCAGTTTTTGGGCTCGATTTTGGCGCCGTTCCGTCCTTCAGGGCCACTGTGTTTCCCTGTCCAGCAGCGTCCGTTCTCAGCTTCGGGAGGAAGAGCAGCAGCAGCAACAGGAGCAGCAGGAGGGTTCTATGTCTCACTATGTCTCATTGTACAAACAGCGGTACAAAAACTGGTCGAAAACTATTGTTTTTCTAGGGTTTCAGAAGGGACGTTAGGCAGTTTTTGGGTTCGATTTTGGCGCTGTTCCGTCCTTCAGGGCCACTGTGTTTCCCTGTCCGGCAGCGTGCGTTTTCAGCTTCGGGAGGAAGAGCAGCAGCAGCAACAGGAGCAGCAGGAGGGTTCTATGTCTCACTATATCTCATTGTACAAACAGCGGTACCAAAAATGGTCGAAAACCATTGTTTTTCTAGGGTTTCAGAAGGGACGTTAGGCAGTTTTGGGGCTCGATTTTGGCGCCGTTCCGTCCTTCAGGGCCACTGTGTTTCCCTGTCCGGCAGCGTGCGTTCTCAGCTTCGGGAGGAAGAGCAGCAGCAGCAACAGGAGCAGCAGGAGGGTTCTATGTCTCACTATGTCTCATTGTACAAACAGCGGTACAAAAACTGGTCGAAAACTATTGTTTTTCTAGGGTTTCAGAAGGGACGTTAGGCAGTTTTTGGGCTCGATTTTGGCGCTGTTCCGTCCTTCAGGGCCACTGTGTTTCCCTGTCCGGCAGCGTGCGTTTTCAGCTTCGGGAGGAAGAGCAGCAGCAGCAACAGGAGCAGCAGGAGGGTTCTATGTCTCACTATGTCTCATTGTACAAACAGCGGTACAAAAAATGGTCGAAAACTATTGTGTTATTGTTTAGGACGTGCCTTAGCCTCTTTGCCTGTGAGGCCTTAGAGCTATCCATAAAATCTCTAGAGCTATTCATAAAATGACAGTCAAATCCCCAGAGCTATTCCTAAAACTATGGCCAAAAATGTAGAGCTATTCCTAAAGCCATGGCCAAATCAGTAGGGTTATTCCTAAAAATATTGTTGAACTGGAAAGCATATTCCCAAGAATGGTCAACTTGTATCATGGCATGAATAAACCACAAAGTTGACCACGAATACCTAGCCATACACAAACACTACCAATGTAAACATAAGGTATGTGTTAGTGCATGAACTCGGTCACAAAAATGAGAACATAGAGTATCAAATCATGCAACCATGCATATGGGGCTAACATTCTCTATTTGCATTGCAGTTGCATAACAGAAAGTTCCATTACAAGCGCACTACTTCTCATGCAGGTATATCCTCAAAGTACATGCAAGGGAACTAAGCAACGTACCTATACGACAAACCAAAACTCGTTCAAGTAAACCTTCAAAGAACACCACTTACATACTGTGCTGAAAATTGTGACTGGCTCTGAGATCATTGGAGTCATTAAATGATGACTACTCTATGACTATGGACTTACACTAGGAGACTATGACTATGCTTTGATTTGATTCGAGATCAGACAAGTTAATAGTCAAAACTGAAGTTTAGAAACCAATAGCTTACGGCTCTAACTGAGGTACTAAAGGAGACAACCAATAATTGACTAAGTGACGACCAACTACATAAGAAATGTCAAGTTTCACGAATCATCGTCATGAAAAAACGAATATCAAACACCATCAACAAAATGCATCATACCAAAAAAAACTGATTTATGATCAATTTTTTTGATAGGGTAAGATGCCTAATGTTAATGAGTAAGTGGTATGCTAAGGAATGGCTCGGAGCGGTTCAGAGCGGTTCCTCAGCATGATTTTAGGAATAGCTCGGAGCGGTTCAGAGCGATTTAGAACCATTTCTAAAAAAAACCTTTAAAGAATGCATATAGTTCAGAGCGGTTCAGAGCGGTGCAGAGCGATTTCTAAAACTTGAAAGCTTATGAATGGTTCTAAATAGCTCAGAGCGGTTCAGAGCTATTTCTAAAACATGGCTGAGGAATAGCTCGGAGCGGTTTAGAGCGATTCCTCATCACCCCGAAATCACGAATGTAGTCTCATCCTGTTTTTTCAAACAACAAGATTGGAACAAAATCATACCTATTATATTAATTTCATATATTCATTTAATATATATATATACATATATATATATATTATCATAAATTTTGTTAATTTGTTATGCTCTCTTGTGTTTTGTGTTTCTGATCTCTTCAAGTAGTTCTCAAGTCACAATGATTACAACTACTATTGACTATGACTGTCTTACCATCTACTTACAACTTGGAACGAAACCGGACATGATGACAACCAAATCTTAGTCATGGCCTGGGTGGCTGGGGATTATACCAGCACAAAGAAGTGACAATAGGAATGTGGTGGGATTAAATTTGGAGACCAAACACTCATTGAGAAAAAAATCGTTGAACACCCGGCGTGACTGGACTAAACTACGCCAAACCAATGAGGGACAACCAAAGATTTATAGTTCCGGTTCAGGGCCTCTTTCTCACCCTTGTTGAAACCAAAATGAGAAACTGAATGGATCCGGGTCTAAAGAACGGGCCTCTCTTGGAATTACATGGGAAGGGTTCCCATCTTGGAAAGATTCCCAAGGGATGGGGGTCTTGGTAACGAATAGCTAGCTCTACAGTTCCCCCAGATTTTTTTTGGAATAGCTCTGGAAATTTTGGGAATAGCTCTGGGAATTCCTTGAAATTTTTGGGAATAGCTCTGGGGATTCCTTGAAAATTTTGAGAATAGCTCTGGAAAGGAATTTAAAATTAGGTCTCTCCAGTCTTTGAAATTTTGGTTCCATGCCCCCGGCCCGGAAAGCAAACCCGGGATTGCAAGATTTCCTCTCACGGGAATGTCCCTCAAACCGTCACAAGAATACTCAACCCTCGGCCCCGCCCCCAAAAACCGGGTTTTGATTTGAACCATCGGGGTCGGAGGCATATATATTATTGTTATTATCGTTATATATGGGTCTGGAGAATCTTACGTGTACAGAGACAAACAGCAGTCCTTTACCCACTGCTGTGTGCGGAAAAGCTCTTTCCGCAGTCTTCGAACTGGCTCCTGCGCGACATCACTCATCAAGTTCAGTGCTGAGTGGAATTGAGAAGCTGCCACACCTACGTGGAATTTATTGGTGTGCACTGAAGTGCACTTGCTAAAATCCCCGTCCATGCACATTGAATTGCCTGAGAGGCCTCTGCTTAGACATATGTGTATATATATATATAATTAACTAATTAATTAATATATTATATGTACATTTATATCCCTCGCTCTCCCATTCTGTGCGGTCATCTCGATTGATAGCACGGAGCTTTGCGTAGGTCTCTGGATTGTTGACGTCAATCTGCCAACCAGGAAAGATCAGATAGAAAATGAAGAACTGTCATGAATTCTTGGAAGATGGGCTATGAAAGTCCAAGACATGCAATGACTAGAAAATGCACTTGAAACATCTTGCAAATCTTGCAACACTCCAAGCCTTTGCGCACTTTTCCCCTGTGCCATCCTGTGCCTGTGTATCACTGAGACCTGATGAAAACATCAGGACCTTCGCAGTGTTCAGGCAACCCGAAAGGCCCGAAAGGCCCGACGCAGCATTCCAACGGATTACCCGTTGCAGCTGCCGCTGCCAAGACACAACTTTCCGACTTCCCAAGTAACACGCTTGAGGACTCCAATGGCGTAACAACATGCAACAACATGTGACTTCAACACATGTGACTTATACATACTTATACATTATACATGTGAGAACTGGTCAAGAAGTCAAGTATGGATCTTTGCTTGATGCTGCTCTTCTCATGCTGGGACTGGGAAGGAATCTCATGTTGCTCAAAGGGAAGCCTCCATTGCCGAGAGCTCCTACCCCGGAGCTACAACCCCAAGCCCCTCTCACTATCCGTGATCCTCAGGTTGGCCTTCACCTTGGCTGGAAAGAAAGGAGCAACATGGAGTTCATCGAATACATGATACCCAATGATACCTATTGATGGAGGCAATGATGTGTGTTTCAGTACTTCCCTGAGCGTCTGGTTTCAACATCTCATGCTCCAGTATTTGTCCAAGGATTGCAGGTGCACCCAGGTGGTTCGATGGGAAAGAATATCCGCAATTATCGTTGTCTGATTTGTGGAATGTTGGAAAAATGCAGTAAGATGATGTAAGATGCAATAAGTTGTAATAAGATCAAGCTGCAACGGAACCTTTCCATTTGTTGTTCCATTGCTGTTCCATTTGTCCAGCATCCAAGTGGCTTCTTGCCACGCTTCGCTGCACCAGCAGCAGGTGCCCCAGGCCGCTTGGTGCCCGCTTTGGCGGCAGCCTGATTGGCTTAAGCGACTTCAACACATCCCATCCTTAACAGCAAGAATGGAAGTAACGTAAGCCCTCTGTGAATATTCTATGAATCTATATGAATCTATATAATTCTCTATGAATCTTTGAAGCCATTCTTTGGCGGCTCTCTTTTGAAACATCTGCAAAGACTTGGCATTTCTTCATGCGGCCAGGTCCAAGCACAAAATGTAATGAGTTCCACCGCAAATCAGCCTTGGCACCACCCTTCTTCTTGGAAGGATCGAACCTGAGTATCCAGGGCACCGCCGGACACCGCCATTTCGCTTGTTCCACAATTTTCATGGCTCACAGTGTCACAAGAAGCATTTGGATGTGGTTGGGAGGTTCCGAGAGTGGCACTTCTCGGAATCCTTGATCTGAACCTGCTTTGACTGACAAAAAACATGACATTGCGAAGGAATGCAAAGAACGGCATCAACATACAAGCATGCATCAAGAAAAAAGTTGAATCAGGATAATTGTTGAAAAGGCATGACAAGGCTATCGATGAACAATCAACTCTCTTTAACAGTCAACGGGTCACCCGGTCACCCCAAGCTATCTGCCTTGGCTGTACCAAAGAACATGTCCAAAGGCCGCTGTTTCGTCCTTGACCTTCGTACCGTGGAGGTAACCATGCGGTCCAGGGTGCAGAGCCTTTCTTTCATACTGTGACATATTCTAATTGACCTTCGTACATATGACACACGACAAACATCAACAAAGTGAATGTATACATGTTAGCAAACCTGCCCAGCCTACCCTGTGATGGAAACATATGTTGAAACACATTCTACTAAAATGGGGGGGAAACATGCGAAATCCAGTTGATTCAGGCCGAAGGAACTTAGAGTTTTTCAGCCTTTCAATGTAGCGATCAACACGCTCTTTGCTGAAGGTGCACTCCTCCAGACCAGTTCAGTCAAGTGCAGTTTCATATCCAGAAAACAGAAAAATAAGAAACAAATGCAACCAGCATCTCTGCCCCTCTGAAAGTTAGGAAATGCACTGCAACTTGCGACTTTACAGGATTTCAGAAGTATCTCACAAGTATCTCACAAGTATCTCACAAGTATCTGACTGGGAGTCCTCTACCAGGAATTTCGTGAGGCCTTCGAAGTCTGGTTCCTCAAACTTAAACTCGCACTGGGCAGTGTCTACGGCCTTCCAGGGCAAAGGCCAGCAAAGCAGCCAAGCATAGCCAAGCATAGCCAAGCTGTGCAAAGGTTTGAGTTAACCAAGATTTCATCATCAAATCATGATAGATCCTGAGATAGATCCTAATCTTCCACAGCCTTTCACAGTATCAGTATATGCTTCAGGATGGTTCAGTGTGGTTCAGTGTGGTTCAGTGTGGTTCAGTGTGGTTCAGTGTGGTTCAGTGTGGTTCAGTATGATGTTGGCCTCGCACTCTTTGAAGAACATTCGAGCTGCCTGTGAAAAAGCAAGTCGCATTTCAAGAGCACGAGCCGCATCGCTCATTGAAGGTAAATGTATACATCAGCATCCAACATGTCCGCAGAATGGACTGAATGCACTTGCAATGTGGCAGCATGTCATGCCTCGTATCTGAAATTTTCTGGCACTTTGTCAGACCTCAGATTTCTGCGCAGGGTATTTTGACGGTGAAACAAAAGTAGGAAGAGCTAAGCGCCACACCCAATAGCTTCAATGACCTGTACACACAGCTCAAGTCTCTTTGCTTGACTCGTGATTGAAAAAAAAAACATGGCTTTGTCTGGCAAACGGTAATTCCAAATCCATCCAAATCCACTGGTTGATGGTTGATGGTTGATGGTTGATCATCATGTTCCACATAAAATGACCATAAATGTTGGTATAAGAAATGGTGCCAAAAAGTTCCGACCTTCTCCAAGGTGCCGTGCTGCAGAATCAGCTTGATGGCAGTGCTGGGACCTCGGCCGGCACGTGTGATATTTAGATCAGTGTCTTCTATATATATATATTGTCTGAATCATATCCAAAAAATAATATTCAATAATCGTACATATATATTAATAATAATAATAAATAATAGTAATAATAATAATGATGATAATAATAATATAATTGTATATAATTGTAATATTATATTACGGATTACCGTACAATATATTACATAATATCTAGCATATGCATGTCCCGCACTTTTTGGTCAGCACTCTGCCTCGGGCCCTGGCCGATACCCTTCAGAGTGTCGCAGTAGTCGCAGCCACACAGAATGCAGAAGTCGATAAATTGGTCCATCGAGACATTCAACCTTCAAATCCAAGATCCATCTAGATCCCGGATCCCACAATACAAGACATCACAATAGCATTCAAGCAAGTCACTGTTGAAGCGCTAGCTCCAAGTTCACCTGCGAAGGCTGATCTCAGTGGCCTTTTAAGTTACAGTTACAGCTGCAACCAACAAAGATTGCAAAAATAGCGCAAAATAGCACCTCCAGGATCGTTTTCTTCTGGGATTCTGCTGCCATCAAGTTCCTGGCTGCGAAAAGCCTAGAATCGAGATGGGAAAATGGACTAGATTGACTAGATCATATAAATCATACTGAATCATACTACAGTAAATCTATGTGCCTGATGAGGATTTTGGTTCCAAACGTAAGGCAGTCGGCATCCTGACGAGGGCTAGCACCCAAGAAAGTGTCCGCTTGTCAGGTCAAGTAGAATCATGGTGGCGCCGCTACAAGTAAGATCTAACCACTTACCGTCACTTACGGACTTATAACATCTTTTAACATCTTTTAACATGCGGTACCTCAGGATGTCAGGAGATCCGAAGATGATAATCCACCAGATCGAAAGCACGACGGTCTCCATCTCTCGGTAGCATTGCACAAAGATTTTTTTAAGAATCCAGAGCAGGAGAAAGACTGAAAACAAATCTCACAGTTTCATTATAGATTTAATTATATTTGATGTTTTTTGATGAATGAAGCGTACCGGCGTACCATCCGCCTCTGTCGCTGCGCCAAAGACCTTGCCGTCTCGGCACAAGGCAGCGCATGTCCTGGGTGTTGGATAAATCCCAAACAAGCACGAATGATATTGAATCGTGCTGAAACTTATGACCTCTGTCGTCTGGGAAGGAAGCATTTCTTCCAAGTAAAATTGAAAGGAGCGAAGGCAGCTAACGCTGGCTACAGCGCTTGGCCACAGGGATTAGCAGCTTGACTCGACAATGCCGCACAATTTCTTGATGTTTTTTGACTTTATGCTTCACATCTAAATTTACAATACTTCTGAGCACATCCTTTACAAGTATCAGCTTAGAAACAGAAAAAGGTGAACTATGTGAACTGAATCAGGCTTTGGAAATGCTTCCATGGAAGTTTTCCGGGATGGAGCGTACGGAGTCGTAAGCGCAGAAAACCGTACTGAGCGCGCTACGCCTCAGCTTCACTTGGAGCCTCCACCTCAGAAGTGCGACATTATGCCATATGCCATGCCAACTCATGAAGCATATCACGACTCATAAGTGTCAGACAACTGGCACACCCATCAATCTGAGGAGCTTCTTGGTTTCCTGTGCGGAGCACAATCACCCTACTGCAACTATCCACAACCATGCTATGATATGAAAAGAGAAGCAGAGGCTTGGGCCTCATTCTGCTCTTTGGTCACCTTTGTAGTGGCCTTCCGAAGCAAGATCGCAGGAAGCGAAACGGGGATAAAATATGATAAAATTCGCTCCACGTCTCGATGTGTTTGATCAACAAGCGTCCAAATGATTCCAAATGGTTCTGAATGATTCCGAATTATTCCCATGTTTTGTTGAAAAATTGCGTACCAAACAATACAGATTTTGGCGCCCGGCCCACTTCACAAAATCTCCTTTCTCTTATTGGATCGGAATCGGATGATACCCTGACATGGTGATACACCTTTTAAGAACATCTCCAGCCTTAGCACCCTTCAAGACACCTTCCGCATCTCCGGCTTCGACAGCCGCCTGTGACCGTCAGAGGGGTTGAAAGTCCTCCAAGACCTTTCGCATGAGTGGATGCACATACACTTATATAACATCGTTTAACCCCTCTCCCATTGGTACATTGCTATGCCTCTGGGAGTCCATATTTCCACTTGACTCACTTGGAGCCTTTGAGATTATGAGAACTACATCCACATGAGGTCCACATGTTGTTGGAGATGCAGAAAAAGATATAAAAAGCAGAGGCACCTAGTGGCTATTAGTGGCTAGATCAAATGTCCTATGACAGGCGACCAAAGGCGACCATACTTGGTGCGTTTGCTGGACATGGCCTGGCGATTTGCCTCTGCTTCCTTCCGCTTCTCCCTGCGTTGTTCAAGCTCCTGGCACACAAAAGGACCCAATGTCGTCATGCTGCCAACGTCGTGTTGCTTGACCCAGGCGTGTATGCTGAGATCTTCCCAAAAAAGATCTGAGTGCAAGCAGAGGCATGTCAACCTCACTCAGCGCTCCAGCAACTTCATTTCTGGTGGCTTTCCATCGAAGACATAGACCGGTTTGATGCCATTCCTCAGCTGCTGAAATCTGCTGAAAGCAGTGACATCAATGGCATCAATGGCATCAATGGCATCAATGGCCCCGACGCATTGAGGACCTGACTCCATCAATTTGATGGTTCTTGTCAACATTCCAATGATGTGAGATGTGACCTGAAGAAGGCTAGAACGCTCGGCTAAAACGCATTCCCTGAAACTCGATCACTGGTGAGAAACAAATAGGTCACTGGTGATCCTTTCATGATGTGATGTACGAAGGGATGGAACACTTGAAAGTACCGCAAGCTGCAGGAGCAAAAGCCCCAAAGTTGAACCTGAAAGTCTTGGGGTCTGGCCTGTCCCTCCTCATTGGTCAGGTTGTTGTACCTGGTTTGAAGATACACAGAGGTTAGTTCCTCCAAGCACTACATTCAAGGTCTCACCACTTCAGGTTTTTTTATGGCATGAGTCATGAGAGCCAAATCAGCGCACGTTCCCGACCGATTCTCTCTGATCATGATGAGGAATTGGTACAAACACCTGGGAAGGCGGGCAATTCACAGGGCAAAAAAGGAATCACCAGCAAGGAAAATTTAAAAGCCTGTAATTATCTGTAATTATTGTAATTTAATCATATTTAATCTGTCCTCTTTCCCAGTCTTCACTGAAACCTAGCAGGGATATCTCGGGCGCTGGGGTTTGTACATGCTTGCATCGATGGCAATCAGCCGTCCAGTGTAGGCAGCCTGCATGCGGCACGTACGAATACATGAAAGTCATGAAAGTCATGAAAGTCATGAAAGTCATATAAACTAGCTGCACTAGCTGTCCACAGCTTTGAAGCTGATCAGTTTGCGTTGACATGCATAGATACTATTGATATCTATTGATACTAGTTGCTCGGGCCGAAACCTGGCTTGGAATCTCCTTGACAGATTTTGGAGCATTCTCTTGCAAAAATTTCACGAGGCCTGTCCATTTGCACGCCAGAGATGTGATGAAATCGAAGCAAAAAAGCTCCAAGCTGGGCTACAGTGCTACAGGCCCCAAGCCTTTAATGCCCATGGTTCAGGGACGTCGACAACTGAGTGAAACTGTGGAATCTACAATCTGAGCCAAACAGAAATGCCTTTCTGACATGAAGCAAGATCATGTGTGCAGACAAAGCCAAATCTAGTCTGTAGGTTTTCCCAGACTCCCAAAACGCAGCTGGTCTCTGTAATCCTTCGCTGACTTCACAGTAGAAACAGCTGTAAATGTCTTTCATGACAATACTGTCATGGCAGCTGTGGCAGGAAACCTTCTTGTCATTCAGCTGCTTTAGCTGGATTTCGAAAGAGCGCTTTGCCATGTACCTGAAGAACAATATATATATATATTTAAACAACTTCACATTGCAACCTGTACTTAACAAAGCATGTTGGGGCACAATTTCGGCAGAAAACTTTGCAAGTCGGTGTAGTTGAACTCGGCCCTCACACAACGCATGCAAGTGCCGTGAACTCAAGGTCTCCACAGTTGAGGCCAAGTTCCCAGCGTCTGTTTCTTGAATTTGTTGGCACCAAAGAAGCCGCCCTGGTGAAGGATCACTGCTGGGCAGGGGGTGAAACATGGCAAGTTGTGGTGCTTGTTGCTCCTCCTGTGACGAGAAGAGTTCTCACCAAGTCTTGTATGTTTCAATTGGTAGGGACTGCTAAAGTTTTGCGAAATCAGTGACAATGTGGGATTGAATGACCAATCTAAGGTTTGAGTTTGGAGTTTGCGTGTACTGTAAAAAATCATGGTGCTTATCGTTGCTTATGGTGGATAGTGGATAGGTGGAGATCGTTTGGCTCTTCAATCCCCTCTAGGTCTGAGTAGAGGCTGTGCTTAACCGAACAAGAACAACTTTTGCAGTGCCTCGGAGGCTCCCCTTTTCGTGGGTTAAAAGCCACGCTGTGGAATGAACTAAATTTAGGCAACGCTAGGATATGAAGTCCATGGAAACAATGTTGAGGCGGTCTTCTGATCAAGTCGCAAACAAGCCTCTCGTGCTTCATACTTTGCTTTTGCGCGTGAGTCTCCCACAATCAAATCTGCACCTGTCAAGGGCTGACACGCACTGTGCAATGTTGTAGAATGGATGATGACAAGCCAAATTGGAGGAAAAGAATGAGTGATACGCGGAGCTGGTAGTGCAACCAACATCCCATTAAGATCCAGTAAGTAGAAGGAGATCTAAGCATTGAACTCGAGTCTGCAACTGCAGAGCCCTCAAAAGCCAGCCACGCCTCAACACACGATGTTGTGTCGTGTGTACTGCTCAAGGGTTCAACCGATTCAGTGCTTTCCACTGCACCTCTTGGAATCTCAGGACAGAACTGGCAGGCCCAACCCAGGCAGCACCATGGCAGCCTGTCGTTGCTCCAATAATTGGTGTTTTTTATTTGTTCATTTTTCTTAATATATTTAATATGCTTCTCATGAACCACTCCTTATAGATGAAAAATGAAATCCGTCTGATGCCTGACGATGCCTTTGCCCCATGATACCTGATGTTTTTTTCAAGCAAGACTTGGGTAATCCGCTGGGTGATCATCATTACATGCATAGAATTGGGGGTATGCACCATTTTCAGACACATAGCAGGGCTCCCAAAATCTCCCAGGAGTCGGCTCCTCCCGCCGTGATGGACATGGTGCTTGTCCCCTCAGAGAAAACGACAAACGCCCAATATGAACATTGACCATTGTCTAATTGCAAGAGTGGTGGCAAGTTCCACAAAGAGACAGCAAATTGTATTATGATATGTTGATTTATCATTTTATATCAGTTTATATCGTTTAAAAACATCCCATATACTGTACTGTACATGATCATATATATACATATATATATATATATGTATGTATTTATATACATATTATATCATATTATATATATATATATTAAATTGTTGTTTGTTGTTGTTTGTTGTGTTTAGACATTCTGTTAATCCTCAGCCGATGGGAGATGGGCTTGCTCGGCTCAGCTGTGAAGGCTGTCCCAGGAAGGCCTGGTGCCACAGGAAAGTCATCGAGCAACTGACCACTGGGTACCACGGGTACCACGTGAGATTCGGCCTCTAAGCAGGACACCCAGAAAGAGTAAAACCTAGCACCGGCACAGGGGGAAAAAAACATGGAGATGAGATAAGCATTGAGAAGTCGTGATTCTGAAGGATTCACCAAGAGTTTCAAAAGCACTAGATGCATTGATGAGAGTGGAAGGTCCTATCACATTTCTCTTTTGGAAGGTCATTCACAGTCTCTCTTGACTCAGAAACCTGAAATTCCTACACTCTAGACTCTAGAGTTTGCAATGAATGCATGTTCTTCGCTCGGGTGCTCCCTTAAAGGTTGGCAAAACTGCCGTGCCTGGAAGTTGGTCTGGAATTTGGATAAAGACAATTGATTCAATTGACTCTTGTTCCAAAAAGAATACCTACCTGACCTACCTGACCTACCTGACCTACCTGACCTACCTGACCTACCTGACCTACCTGACCTACCTGACCTACCTGACCTACCTGACCTACCTGACTACCTGACCTACCTTCTTCACTTTTCTTAGAATTCGAATTTGATGGAACATGATGAAGCAAAATATCTCACTAATCTCTCCCTCCCTGGCGCACGTCTGCTGCTTATGGCAGTGCCAATCTAAGGTGCCAGCTGCGGCCGCCAAGGGCGAGCGCCTGACACGTTTTGCAACGCCAGTAACTTCAAAGCTTGAAATCTTTGAAAAGGACTGAAAAGATTAACCATTCTTAACCACGACTATTGACGATCATTAACATTTACCATTCTCAAGTGCTTTTGGATATGGACTTGACACATAGATGCTCGTCAGCGTAGAGAGGCCTCTTCCAGGTGGCCATGAGCTGTTTCTGAAAATCCGTGAACTCGGAGATAAATTCCAGGCAGCTCCAGTCCGAATATTCCGAAGTCGGTTTTCTATTAGTAGAGGATCCGATGTTGCCCTTTTTTGCAATTGAGTCGGTTTTGCCGAATTCCCAGACACTTGGGACTGACCTCGTTTTCTGAACAGTTTTTTTTCCATCCATGCGTTGGGCCAAAAGCTGCCAGCAGAAACACCTCGAAGCATCAAGTCTCAATGCATCAAGTTGCGAAGTTCAAGCAGAATTTAAAATCAAGAATCAAATGATACAGTCCAGTGATATCAAATGATATCAATGGGCAGAGACTGCAGCCTCAAGTTCTTACCGGCAAGCTGGATGCGTCCCTCTCAGAGAAGGTCGGGTCAGATCTTCCAAATCTCTGATGGATGATGGCTACTTCAACGGTTGAGTTACTGATGTTACTGTCATTGGTCATGAGGTGCAATCTTCACCACTTGCGTTGGCAAAAGAGCCTCGGGTTCCTCTCTATCTGGGAACATTGCTTCCTTACAAAATCTTACAAATCCCTACAACACATTACAACACAAACCATTACAATCAGTGCGGTCAAGGCGAGCTTTTTCTTTGGCGCTGTCTGGGTTTGATTCAAACAGACTCAGTCGGGCTGAGGTGATGTGCATCCTGGTGATTTGGAAAGAAACACTCCCTGGGCAAACTGCGCCACTGGTCACTCGTTCTTTACAGACCCACAGGACCACCGGGCTCTGCCCGACTTCCTAATGTCTGTTTGTCTCAATGATTGGTTGCTGACACTGGGCAAAAGAATGCAAAAGGTGTCAGCATGGGGGCCACCAGTCAGTTGTTTTAACTTTGGTGATCTTTTTCACATAGTTGATCGGAATGATGACATTGTACTGATGGTGGCCATTGTGCAAACTCTACAGCCTACTTAAGGCCTCCTACAAATGTTTCAAAACGTTTTCCACGAAAGTGCTCTCTGGCTTCCCATCTCCTGCAGGATCGTCCTCGGCTGCTGCGACAAAGACTTCCTTGACTTCCATATCGTCCACGATGATGGCATGCCTCTTGCAACGGGGATTTCCCAGAGCTGCCATCACTCGAGAGTCGGTGAGCTCCATTCCGATTTCTTTGGTGAGGAGAGAAGCACTGTCTCCGTAGAAGGAGAGCATGGAGCCGTCCACTTTTTGATCCTTTGCCCACGCATCCATCACTGCGGAGTCATTCACACAGTACACAATGACATCAGAGACGCCCTTGGCTTTCAGTTCAGCTTGCTTGGCAAGGTAGCCAGGCACCTGCTTTGCAGATCAGGTAGGAGTGAAAGCACCGGGAAGACCCACCATCACCACCTTCTTGCCCCCGATAATCTCGGTGAGTGGCACCTTCTTTGGTGGGAAGCCCTTGTCCAAGACCACGTTTGGAAGCTTGGCACCCTTGGCAATGGCAGAAGCTGCCCGTGGAGCACTGTTCCCCATGGCGGGTGAGGAGATTCAAGGAATGAGCCAGTTAAAGGAGCTGCGGCAGAAAATGTCTTACATCATGGATGAATTGTCCGGAAAGTGGCTAGCGGCTAGCGTGCACTTTGCAGTCTGCGCTGCATTTTGCAGACGAATTACACAAACCAATCACGGAACCACCATCAATGATGTAGCAGGGGAAACAAAGGGCCCTTCGCAAAGGGTACTTTCACATTTCAACATCATCTGGGTTTCATGGTCAAGGAATGTCACTGACATGCTCGCAAAATCTGCAAACCTTTCCAGACGCATCTGGTCCAACGGTCTGAGTTGATGTAGCATCCAACCCAATCCTCTAGTGGTTACAAATACCTACTTGGCAGCGCACACTCACAGCGCAAGTCGAAATGTGGCTTCTACCACTTGACTGCGACTGGTCACTCGTGCTGCCAAAGCTGGCACACAATGCAACCCAAGAATTAGCTGCAGTGCTAAACTCAATAAAGCATCAAAACTGTGACCAATCTGTGGCACACCAGCATCAGCAAAAGCAGCAAGCTCTTTATGCTGTAAAAAGGGACAAGTTGAATGATTGCAACGATCAAGTAAGTGACAAGTACAGAAAGGAGATGTGTGTTACATATGTTACATATGTTACATATGTTGCATTGCATATTTGAATCATTTGAGTTTGCTGCTTTCCTCGTTCCGTTGCTGAGCCACGGCTTCCCAGGCCACTTAAAGATATGTCAAAATGTTCTCTACAAAAGTGCTCTCTGGCTTCCCATCTCCAGCAGGATCGTCCTCGGCTGCTGCGACAAAGACTTCCTTCACTTCCATATCGTCCACGATGATGGCATGCCTCTTGCAACGGGGATTTCCCAGAGCTGCCATCACTCGAGAGTCGGTGAGCTCCATTCCGATTTCTTTGGTGAGGAGAGAAGCACTGTCTCCATAGAAGGAGAGCATGGAGCCCTCAATCTTAAGGTCCCTTCCCCATGCATCCATGACGGCACAATCGTTCACGCAGTAAACAATGACATCAGTAACGCCCTTGGCTTTCAGTTCAGATTGTTTAGCGAGGTAGCCAGGCACCTGCTTGGAAGATCAAGTAGGAGTGAAAGCACCGGGAAGACCCACCATCACCACCTTCTTGCCCCCGATGATTTTAGAGAGAGGCACTTTCTGGGGAGGAAAGCCTTTGTCCAAAGTCACATCCGGCATCTTATCACCCTTGGCAATAGCGGCAGCCGCCCCGGAAGGGCAGGGACGTTTGTTGCTCATGGTCAAAGGCGGATGGCGTTTTCTGAAAGTCAGGGACACGGTTCAACGTTCAAACAAAAGTATCAGCATGCTGCAGTTGTCCATGATTGCATTTCCTTTTCTTGGCGTCCATGAATCAAGTGTAAGGCCATCCATTCACATGCTTTCATGCGCTTATGCTTGTGCTTAGATCAAACATTGAGCAAAAGGACAGTGATTCAAGCGTGAACTCTGCCGAAACAGGCCGCAGAGATTGGATCAAATCAACACAACACTTACAACTTATGCAACTGTCACAGCTGGGTATGGGTCAAAATTGAGCTATTGCCACTGAATATACAAATTTGATCAAATTTGCTAACTTTGAGGAGAGTCAAGCGTTGTTAAACCAAATGAAATCAAATTAAACAATATTGTCATATTGCATTGAAACCATATTAAACACATAAAACCATATTGAACCATATTAAATCATATTGAATAATACTAAACCATCGGTTTTGACAGAGAAGTTCAACCTGTATACCCCTAGCATTTTTCGGAAAGCAATCGCTGGTACCAGGCTTCTGCTGGATATGCGTGGATCGGTCCAATCTACCACCCTACAGCTGTGCTCCGTGGAAAAAGGTCGGGAAACTATGCCATCTTGCGGTACCTGCAACGGTCCCACTGGCCATTTTTGTGTCTGAGGGCGGCCAGTGCCCTTGATGGCGAGATCAAACAAAATCAAAGCAATGCACAAATATGCACAATACCGACAATGCCGCACAAAACCAAAGTCAAAGTGATTTTGTGGTCACAATTTCTGCAGTTCCTCCACTGCAAAGAACATCAGCACCGTGTGACCGCCACACCTGACATGCAAGAGCGGAGACAAAATACTGCGAGAAGGAAAATTCGGTTGATTTGCCAATACAGCTCTTCAATTCCAATCTGAGATGCTCTGTGCCTGAGAAAATATGGGAAGAATCCATTGTAGAGGGCTGTTGCACCCTCTTTGCCTTGCCGGGCTTGAGCACAGCATGGCAATTTTCGCCAGCTACATGGCTGATGACAGCTCATAACTATTGACAAGAAGACTTTCATGGCATTCACAGAAATTTCTGGCATGGCTCGGAAAGAGATGTATTTCAGCCATTTTTCCGGAAGAGCACCCTGTCAACTACCAGGTCTTTTATTCGCGGCCTGCCACAGTTTGAATTGTCTGCAAAGTACCGCGGTACCTGCAGTCTAGGAGGCTTCAGAGGCTTCTTGTAAGGCTTTAAGAGGAATGTGCATTCAGACTATTTCAGACTCATAATATCGGCGCACGGCAATTTTCCTGTCTCTGGATCAGGCTTCTGCGATGCCATACGATTCTTCGCAGACTGCACAGGGATTAGCCAGGGCACACATGTACTGATCATGTACTGTCAAGAGATCGTGCAAACATATGAGAAGAGACTTGAAAACACACTGGCCGGAAAAAAATGCTGTCCAACTCGCCTCAAATGGCATGGTGATGATGGAATAGACCTGAAGTGCTCAAAAGGTTCTGGCAATGTAAATACTTGTGGTTGCACCCTGAACGTCTTCTGGAGGTTGAAACAAAACACTCAGTGATGAACCAATCCGGCTGTGAAAGAGGAGGCCACAACATTCGCGCTGCCCTGGAGGTTTGGTGCTTTGAACACACGATCCAACCTAAAGAATCCGAAAGTGTCAAGACATCTAAAGACTCCAGTGAATATGAGCCAAGTATGATCACCTTGCAAGGTTCGGATGCGATATGCGCAAAAAAAACGAAAAACAAAGAAATACAAGAAATAGATAGAAATAGCAGCTAAAGAGCCTTAACTCCCAAATTTCCGTAGATGGCTTTGAACTGATCGTAGGTTGCCACCTGTACAGCCAAAGGGAGGAGTTCCTTCCAATAACTCCCTTGGATGCTTTAACCGTGTGCTTGTCTGGGCTCATTGATCTGCTTGGGTTTCAGGTTTTGAGGGTTTGAAGAACATGCAGAACCGAAAGCTGCAGCGCTGCATCTTTTCCCGGAGCATTTGGAGCACATCCAATAGCTCACGGGGAAGCGGAGACTCGATCTCCAAGGGATTGCCTGAGGGAGTCATAGATTGCAGTAGCTTTCCCTGGAACCAACATGTGAAATAGCTACCAAACAAAGCTTCGCAATCGCAAGAGCATCTTGAAGCAAACGTCACTCTGAATCAATCTTCAGGTCAATACTTAACTAGACGATGCTACAAATGCTACAAGGAGTACCAAAAGCTGGTGAGACTTGCTGGCTCCCAGCGCAGCCCGAAGACTGCCCGAAGTGCCTTGCCTCGCAGGTCCAGAAGTCTCAAGCGTCGACAGTGGAGGAAGAGACGGGGGCACCAGCTGGGCGAGCCTCCAACAGCGCAGCCATGGCTGTGAAACACTCCCTGCGAAGAAAAAGGATCAGAGCAGAACAAAGTGTGGCAATTATATGCAATTATGACCTAGATATATCATGATATATCTAGATGATCTATATAGATATTACATACACTAAGTATACATAAGTTACATAAGTATACATAAATACGAGCTCTTGCCCTTTCTGCCGTTCCATTGCTCGCCTAGCCAATAGCGCTTGTCACCGAGGAGGGGTCGACCGATGCTGGCGAGGTGTATCCGGATTTGATGTTTGCGACCTCAAACTGTGCGAGGTCCGCACGGAGCTGGTTGCGGAAATGTTGAAATCAAGTGAAATATATTGTATACTGACTGAAAATGAAATAAATGAATAAAAATGCCACAAGTATCCACTATATAATCGCTGTGAAGACACCTGTATGTGGCTCCACTCGCAGCAAGCTCACCTCTTCTGTCGTCTCAGGATCAGCATAGCTGGCCAGAACCTTGTAGGTTGTCCTGGGAGACAGTTGAAAATCCTGGCAGCCAACTAGTCAAAGCTCTTCCATCACCACAACAAAACGGTTTTGGAATCTTCACCTTCAGGGTTGAGGGATGTTGAGGGGGTATGGACCGGCATGGCCCTTCCATTTGGTCCTGGCAGGGCGACCTTCCGAAGACACCTCCATCAGCATGGAGTTGTCCACAGATTGCCGCAAAGATGATGAGATTTCGCCCCGTTTGACATCAAAGTGTCCGGAACAAAGGCAAATGTATTCCTTGGAGACTAAACGTGCAGCCCATTGTGCACGGAGCCAGTTGCCAGCACCAGAGGATTCATCTCCCAAGGCCAGCGGAATGATTCCAGAGGTCGCTTGATCCAAACGGCTCGTTGAAGTCACTGGTCGTTGAAGCTCTGAGGCCACAAGCCGAAGCGCTCCTTCGGTTTCAATCCCTGCAGGTTTCTCAAAGGCCAAGACTCCCGGAGCTGTGGCAATGACCTTGAAACTTCGAATGCTTCGAATGCTTCGAATCATTTCACTCTCCAAGAGATTCGCATCTTCAGCCGCCGCTTCGGCTGCATGAAGAGACCGGCGAAAGTCTTCCAGCATCTCCAGGGCGCGGGGGCGGCCATGCACTTGCTGCAGACAAGCCAACACACTTCCCAGTTGGATGCCATAAGTGGAGTTGGGAATTTCGTTCATCATCTCCACGAACACGGCCAAAGCCGCCTCCCATTGTGACGCAGCCTCCTGAGAATCAAACTTCAGCCCCTGCACAACTTGGGTTTTCATCAATTTTGGTCATATATCAAATCATCTCATATTTTTCTTTGTCGCAAATGCAAAACACTACACACCTTAGCGCATGAACGCAATAGCTTCAAATGGAACTGCAGCAGCACACAACGACTGCACTGATTGCAGCCATGATGCGCAGGAGCTGATTGCAGCTGTATAAGTTATTTCCTTGCAGCAGGAAAGCTGTTAAAGGCTTCAGCACACGGAGTGTGAGGAAATTTAGGCAGCCGGCCCAACATTCCCTGATTCCTTTTCCCAGAATGCTGCCCAAACGCCGTTTTCCTTAGCTTCTTCCGCTCAAACTCTCCAAGAAGTTCCAGGGCCTCAATGATTGTATCAATGAAAAAAGTTTCACAAATATGGTGTCCAAATGTGTCCAAAATAGGGTAGCCCATGGTAGCCCTTAACGCACTGATTCCTCATTTTCCCTAGTAGATGGCCGTTCAGCTGAGGCCACTGACCAAATCCCAACGGCCACCCTTTTCTGCTGCGGCTATGGCAGAGTTCGCCAAAATGGTGTCCACTTTCCCACCTTGGGCCATGGTATGCCATGGTATGCCATGGTATGCCATGGTATGCCATGGTATGCCATGGTATGCCATGGTATGCCATGGTCAACTGTTAACCCAAGGGGTGGATATCTGCCCTTGGTTCCAGGGACTCTCCCGCGATCCCAGAACAGCTGAGGCCAATGCTCTGGAAGAAGAGATGTAGCGCCAGCTCCCATTGTCCCATCCCTTCACAGGCCGTGACCGCGGCGCTCAACGCCACTGTGCTCACAGCCACCTGAGCCTGGCATGGAAGAATGCTGCGACCTGTACCATCCATGCCAGTAAAACCTTGTTATCTGAAGTATTCTGAAGTAACATGGAATAGAGTATTGAATTTATTGAATAGCTGCCAAATGCTGCATGATGAAGCATCTTCCGCCTCAGGCATCTTTTGGAGCAGATTCAGGGCCATTTCCCACTTTCCACCCTTCTCGCAGGCGCTGATGACTGCGCTGAAAGCGATGTCATCCTTCCAGACATGAGAGCTATGCGTGTCTTCAGATATGAACTGAGAGCTATCATTCATGGGCTCCAACAGCAAGCTCTGCAATTGGACTTACTTCAACGCTACTGATTTCTTTGAATCTGAGAAAAAGAAAAACCGACGAGTCATGTCTCGTTCATGAAATATTGGAAATTCTCAGGTAAAAGCATCACCACTGTGCAAGAAACATGTGACCACACTTAAACTGAAATCCGTGGCCGCAAAGCAGTCCTGTGGAACACCTGAGCCGGCGGTTGGGGCCACAAGTAAAAACAAATTGAAAGAATCTGGGCGCTGGGAAAACTGGGAAAACTGGGAAAACTGGGAAAACTGTATATCCTCAGCACACATCACCAGTTCTCAATGACCGGCCTTGCTCTGGCATTTGCCAAAACAACTGCAGCGCACTTTGCCACTCAAAGGCCTGCAAGACATTCATTCCTTTGATGGTTCCTCATCACTAAAAAACAATCCAAAACATCAAAAACATATGCCAATGCCACTCCAACCTGCCGCCTGGTTCGTGTATTTCTTTCAAAGGCAACTCCGGGGTGTTCACATCGAAGAAGGACACAACCAATCGTTCGACGCTAGCATTACTTTCATATGGGTCAAAATTGCGGCTGAAAATACATAGTCATTACATGTTGCTACTGTAGGCATAAGAAAACATTCAGTGTCATAACAAGAATCACCGAAAATGGATGCCTGATACCAACAACAGCAACAACAACAACAACAAGAACAAGAACAAGAACAAGAAGAAGGGACTGTAAGTTATACAGGCCATTTTTGTAGGATATTCCCTTAAGCCTTTTGCATGGCAGGTACCTCCAGCGGCCAAGTTGTTCACCGGACCTTCTCACAGGCGCTGATCGCAGCACAGAAGGTCACTGTGCTCCTGCCCAACGGCTTGGCGGATTCGCAGAGTGATGGATTCACAAGAAAGGCACATTAAAATCATTAAAATATATGTGTTTCATTGTGTTTCTGGCGTCTTGGGTGAAGTTTGGAATCTCTCATGATATTTCATCATATTATTTCAATGTTTCAATGCCATGTCTTTCTCTTGTTCTCCCCTTGGTTTCGGGATGTGGAACCTCTCCACGCTTTCATCCAGCATCTGCTGAAGGAGCTGCAGCACCGGCAGCCATTCTCCACCTTTCTCACATGCGCTGATTGCCTCACACGCTGCACCAAGCACTGCACTGCTTCTCTCTATGCACAGGTTCCTGCGAGTTTCCTGGAAATCAACTTGTTAAGGTGGGCGCGTTGCAGAAAGCGATGGTGTTCTTGGCGACTGCTGCACCTTCACAAGGAAAGTGTTGGCTTTCTACGAAAGCGTCATACTCGTTGAATTTGGTTGATGTTTGGTCTGGTTAATGTTTTCTGCTTCGTGTTCCATCGGGTGTTACAGCCTGTCAATAGCCGGAGAACGACAAATCAAAGCTGGTAAATACTACCCACCTCCCATACTGGCGAGCAAGAACAAGGCCTGACACTCTTCTTGCTGCTTCCAGTGACAATAATTGTAGCAGGGATACTAGGCTTGTTACCTGTTGAAGCACAACACTTTGGTTTTTCACATCATGAAACTTCGGCCTCTTCCCATCGTGCTGCTTTTTCACAGGCACTCATAGCAGCACCATACGAGATGACATTGGCTGCCAGTTTTGCGCGTGGCATGGCCGCAAAGACAGCAAGTGCCTCTGCCCAGCGCCTGCCTAGGATGACAGGGCTGAACATTGGTGACAAATGAATCAGATCGAATCATATCGAATCATCAAATATGCATAAATATGCTATGTTTTTGAAAATGTGTGGTCAACTTCCATCCTACGGTCAACCAGAAATCAAAGTTTGTGTAGAATGACACGTTCTACAGTGTTCACATAATGTTCACATAGTTCTTCAGGTTGGAAGAGGCACGCAACATCACGCAACACCCTGGATTGAATCCACCAAGTAAAAGCTGAGGCGCTCTTCGCGCGCAAGCAATTCATTCAGATGCGTTCAGAAATATGTCGTGTGAAGATGAAATCACAATGTATAGGTGTAACGGTCAAGGCTTCAATAGCATGCAAAACCTGTTTTCATGTTCAGATGACCCCTTGCCACATTTGCACGTGTTCATAAAGTCCTAAGTGGCTTTGACCAATGACCAACCAACACAAACTTTCACAAAAACCTCGAGTTCTGACTGCACACTGACTATCCGCAGCTAGGGCGTGTGCAAGAGTTTGATTTTGTTCTGAATTGTCTGTTCCCACCATGTCAAGTCTGTGACGTCCCAGCCTTTCTCACAAGCGCTGATGGCCGAGTTGTAAGTGAACTCCTAAGGCACAATCAGCAAATGAGACGAAGCACCATTCAAACACCAAACATCGTTAAACATCAGACAAAAAGTGTGTTCCTCACGTTTCTATGAATATTCCCAGCACTTCATCAGGGTGCAGGTCACAAGTGGATGCCCCTGAAGTTCAACAATTCCTACAAAACATAGCCAGCTCGCTTGTCTTTCCAAGGCAGCCCAACAAATTCTGACTCATCCCCTTTAATGTGGGTTAGAACAGAGAGAGAGAGAGAGCGAGAGAGAGAGAGAGCGAGGGAGGGAGGGAGGGAGGGACGGAGAGAGAGAGAGAGAGATCTCCATGTCACTCGTCTATCCTGATGTTGGTTGTATCCCGCAGGTTGATAGCATGTCCCCGATGTGCGTGTTGCCCTATATCACATTTTGCTTTTTGGGGTATCACCGCATCCCAAAGCCAATGACAACTGCTGCCCCCAGTATCCGGTGACAGATCCCATTTTAAAACAGGTTGATAATATCCCCCTATCCCAATGATATATCTGGTATCCCATCTTTCAAGGGGTTATTATCATACATGTATGAAAAATGCCCCAATAAACTTGGTAGATATGGATAGTATCCCTATATATATATATACCCCTATCTCATTTAGTCAATGTGGACTAGCAGTTCTTTGGATCACCAGGTCCCAGCCTCTGAGTTTCCACACGTTGGGCCTCACAGCCCACGTGGGCGCAGCACTCAGCAGGGCTAGAGCAGCCTGCCAGCGGCCGGCCTGCTGAAGTGGCCAAGAGGTCAACCAATTTGGGGAGATCACCAACAGACATGGTGAGTTAAACCAACAAAGATGGCTGGAATATGGGTGTTTGACAGACATTTTGAGGATCTGACTTTATAGTGTGACTCTATGAGACGCAGAAATCTACGGTTTCGACAGAAATCTAACTAAAGCTCCTGTTTCCTAGCGTAGATTAGCAGATCTCGGTAGTTTGCGATTCCGATTCCTGGTGAAGCTCGCGCTCCTGCCTCTTGGCAAGCCTTGACAGCTGCCGAGGCGTGGTAGACTGTGACCTCCAAGTAGCTCCTGCGGTCAGCGTTCAGCGTGGCCGACGCAAAGCATTCTGCAGGGCTTTGACGAAGGGTGCAGAGTATGGGTCGGAGAAGCTACCAAAACAGAAAGTGCGGTAGCCACATTGTGCATTAGGACACGATTTAAATATATATACATATACATATACATATACATATACATATATATAATATATACATATACATATATATATATTCAAATGAGTACACAAAAATTTAATATATTTCAATATGATTTGAAATGTTTTGAATGTGAAATCTCAGGTGCCTCACCATCTCGCTGAAAAAGGCGATGGCCAGGGTCCACTGGGCAGCCCGCGCTAAGGTTGTGATCACCTAGCGATCGTCAACTCAGGGAGATCACCATCATCACTACCAGCCCCACCATTTAGAATTTAGATGATGAGATGATCGGTTCTTCTTGGAGATAATACACATATCATCAATAGGTTATTTTTTGTGATTTTCATTTATATTAATGTTCTATAGATAGTGCTATATTCATGTTTATGACTTATATTAGCCTTATATTTACTATCTATATCCATCTTCATGTTTATCACTTTAATATTTACCGTATTTACCATCTATAGGAAAAAACTAACAGCTGTAGCACCTGTGTTGGCAGCAACGTATCGCTGCCCAAGACCTGCACGGCGTCCAACACCCGAGGCTCTTCCAGGTCTTCCAAGAGACGCAAGGCCTACGGGAGATCAGCCGCAATCAATGAGAAATGGATATAAGATAGATGTGTATCATAGGTATATGATTAATATATGATTAATATTATGATATGCAAGTATTCTATAGTATTATCAGTATATATATAGCAGTATTGTCATCAGTTAGGTGGGATGGATCACCCACCAACTAGGCATATAAGATAAGTGATGTGGCAATGACTGATCCAACACGAATGGAAATCGATCAACAGCAATCACAATGTCCAAGTCGAGACGAGTGGAGACGCCTCGTTGTATTCCTTCGCCCATCTTTCGGGGACATTGACCCGGTATGGTTGCCTCCGTGGTAGTGCCAGTGAAGCTTGACATGTGGTCACATTGGTCACGCATCCAAATGTGTGTCACCAGCAATCTGGGGCTGAGGTCTCAACCAAACACTTTGCCTGCTGTACATCTGGGAAGCACCTTGTAGCACCGATATTCATGAGGCTGGGGATCCACGTTTTTGGAGATGCTCAATGAAGTTGATCCACTTGTTTAGTCCACTCATGGGAAATTCACTCCCAATAACGTTCCCACTGAATGAAGTGACCTCTTTTTTCATTCCCATCGCTAAGGTCTCCTGGTCATGCAGGCCATCCAGTGGCCATTCCAGCACCTCTTGTGCCAACATTCTGTCGGTGCGAAATGTCAAATTTGAACTGGTAAAGTGGTCTCCAAACATAATCAGTAATTGGTACTTGTAATTCAATAGTGACTGATCCAAAATATCTAGTAATTCGATAATTTAATGTAATTCATCCTGATAACATTGCATCATTGATCTTTCGCAAGAACCGCTTTCAGCTTATTTCGGCTTGCGACGCAGTCTAGAAGGGGCTGTGAGACGAAGCTCACACCGATTGCTTGCGACTCGGTTCACCAGAAATGATCAAAGAAACTCATGTCCAGTGCAAGTTTGGATGTTGGATAATTGTTGGATACATCATGATACATCCAAATCTTCAAATCATTATGGAAACTATTTCAATTGGTCAATCCACTTCTGGTGATCCTCGCCATTAGCTGTGTAGATTTAAAGAAAAAAGTTCAGCCGAAGGTCTCTCAGCTCAGCGTTTTGACTTAGAGCTCCATCAGCCAGTGTGCCTTGAGCCGAATGGACCAAAAGTGACATTAGCACAGTGTCCATGTGCTTGGGTGTGTGTGCAGGGTCAACCACGGGAAAGTGGGAGGTACAACTAGTCCAAGGACCAACGTTTTAAGAATGCCTTCGATCAATTTGTGCGACCGGTGTGTTTGTGTGTGGTCACCTGTCCATCTCTTTCCCCACTATAGGGAAAAGGTAAGAGGTCTTTCCTGGATCCTCTTCAGGTCCGCCTACTCCCAGGCCGCGCCTAGAAACTGATAGAGCTGGATTGTCTGTGCAACACAGGTGGACTCTGGCTTCGCGTTGGCGATGCTGTCCACAATTCACCTTTTGGACATTGTGAAATGACGGCGGTGGATTGCTGTAAAATATGTATCAGATATGTGTCAGTTGCGTGCTCACTGAATTGCCGCATTCTTGCCTCAAGCCTCTGGTAGACCAGCAATTTTGTGCAAGGTCCAAGGCTTTTCGCACCTAGCTTCAGGATGCTTCAGGCCAGTTCAGCAAGTGAACCACAACAGCCTTGCACTGAGAGATTGTTCAATACCCCGCGCCTGGGCTGCATCAGCAGCCATTGAGCGTAGTTGTCGTGTCAGGTGGTCCTCCTCCGTATGTTGCAACTTGCTCTCACCGGCTTCAAACGTGTCAACATGTTTCAACTTAAATGCCGTTAGTAAATTCAAATCAGTTTTTGATTTAATGTATGGGTTAGTGCTTGTATATCTAAAACGAGTTTCCCAGTTTTTAATCTTTTCATTTCCTTCATATTTGTTCAGTCTAACTAATTTATCTAATGATGCTGTTAAGAAAGCAAAACTGTCTTTAAACTGACAAGCGCCAAATGAAAAGGTTATGAACTTTTCGCTGTTTGGTGCTATTACATCTATTCTTTTGTTTTGGTTTAGTTCTATGTTTAGTTCATTTGCTTTTGCTATGATTAAGTGAGCGTCATAATTTTTAAGATTATGAAAGAAAATAGGGATCTTAAAATACCTAAATGAATAATCCGAATTACATTTTACATGCACCGAGCCTCTGTATTTGCCTGTGAAGTGGCAGTCGTCTTGGACTTTTGTATCATCAGGTTGAAATTTCTTATTACATATAGAGCAGTGGGTCGCGTTTCTAAATTCTGTCTTTTGTTCGTAAGTTAATTCATCCATTGGTCTATTAACATTCATCTTTTCAAATATATCTTTCTTAATTTCAGTCAGTTGTTCTACAAACTTTTTCATACAATCCTCACCTCTGTATAAGTATGGTTGGAATGTATTATCAATCCTTCTTACTACATTCAACATATAACCGCACGGTTTATGTTCCTGATATGTGCCTTTTATACCATTGTTAGAGCCAGTGGTTAGACATTCAAAATCACCATAGATTACAAAACGACAAGGCAATTTGGTATTATGCTTTTGAAATTCTATGTAAGTGTCTTTATCACGCATCTTTGTTTGTTGTCCTTCTGATGCCATACATCCCTTTTCAAGATGGTTCTTATATGCCTTTTCTGATGAGAAAGGGTTTAAGCAATGATGGCAGTAGTGTTTCTTGTTGATATGTTTGTTGCTTTGGCAGTTAAGTAATCTACTTTTGTTTTTCACTAATACATAGTGATAGTTATTACCTTTATCATAGACTTTTAATAAATCAATTTCATATTTAGCATTTCTATTTTTGGTGCCTCTATGTATGATTATTTTATTATCAGTTAGGCAGTCATCAGTTTCAAAAACATTTATTGAAATTAAGTTGTTGTTCTCTTCAAATCTGTCTATGTCCCTATTGCAAGTTGGAAATTTTACACCATCCCAGTTCAAAATATCATCGTTTAGTTTATTATAGTGGAACATTTCCTCTGGGTGATGTTTGCTAATTTTGTCATAGACTACGGATTGAATACAGTATTTGAAACATTTTTGGTCTTTATTTTTTATGTTGACACAAGCTTTCTTTGATTTAATTCATTCTGGTAATTTTATAAAACTGCCTGCTCTTGTTGGGTCAAATTTGTCATAGCGAATAGTTATTGATATTTTTTTTCTAAATCTTAAATTAGATGTTGAACCTTTGAAATTTTGTATTTGTAATCGGATTTGAATAACACTATCTTCTAATGCTTGTGTCAGTTCATATTCATTGCGAATTGGATGATATGTTGATGGTAAAGCATATACAAGTTCTTGACTTCCTAATTCATTTCCTCCATCATCATATTCAGGTTTTTCAAATAATCCTTCCGTTCTTATGTTAAGTTTCATGTTTCTATTATTGCTTAAAAAATCTGATAGTCTTTGCTTTTGGTGAGCAATCATTTCTAATCCTCTTTCTCCTTGAAAGTGCTTGTTTTCTAAAAATATTGAATTAGCATATCTTCTAAATGCTGATTGAATATCTCTGACCCTAAATTTATTTCTTATTGCGTGTTTGATTGTTAATTGTCTAACCCTTTCTCTACTTACAACATCTGTTGCCTTTTTCATAGCATAACTTCTGTATTCATTAGTGTTCTTTACTGATAGAAGTTTCTTGGTCAAGACATTTGATATGGGTTTGTCTTTGTTGTATCTGAATTTCCTGTTGTCTATGATTATGGACTTCAATTCTTTCCTTCCTCTCTTTGGTATTTCTGCTAAATCATTACTCAATAAATAGTCTATAACTTGTTTCATCATATAATAGTATATATATTATTTAGTTAATTTATATATCTTTAAGTAGTTTTCAAAAGAATGCTTTATTTTAATCATAGAATATATACTTAAAGAATAGTTATTTAAGTATATTAGTGGGATGGATTGTGTGAAGGATTTACCTGTTGATGTGTTGAGTAAAATTGATTCGGAAAAAAATTGGAGACCCGAAATATTTGAAAGTAAAGTATAGTGAAGCATTGAAGAGAATACAGTACAATATAAAATATCAAGACTTGGTCCTAAAATAACAAGACATTTGAAATCAAGAAAAAAGATATATATCATTGAATACTGTATTATGAGAGAGGGAGTGCCATTTAGTTTAAAAAGTATAGAAGACATAATAACAGAAGAAAAAGAAGAATTATTATCTTTAATTTATGAAGAAGTAGAAGATGATGTAATAGAGTTAAACTTGATATTGAAGTTCAATTAGTGGCAAAACTCCCAGAAAAGGAATATGGAGAAAATGAATTTAGTTATAGAGAGATTTATTTTATGAATGGCTTTGATGAATACGTAGATAAAGACAATATAGATGATGTATTAGATAAAGCAGTTGAAGAAATACAGGAAGATATAGATGAAGACAATGATAAAGACAGTATAATAGGAATACAAGCATTTCATTTTGAATTAGTAATTATTGAAGTCATTTACTACTTACATAATTTTAATGATAATATTACTAGAGTTATGGGTTTGTAAGATAGGATTATTAAAGACTAAGGAAGTATCTGTATTGTTGTCTATTGTTTTGTTTTTTATGTTGCGCTTTGCTTGGTTTGTTTTTTTTGTTTGTTGTTTGGTTGTTTTGTTTTGGGTATGGAATGGATGAGGTGATTATGTATTGACTGTGATGATTTCTATAAAATGGATGAGGTATAGAGATTGTAGGTTGTTTTGATTTATGAAAATGAATGAGATGATGATATGGTTAGTAGTGATGATTTTGTGGAATGAATGAGGTAACTGTGGTTAGTTGTTATGTTTTTTTTGCAAATAATTATTGAGTTGTTATACTGCTATAATTTGAATTTATAAAACTTCTTTGAACTAATGTTTTTAACATTTTTGGGGGGGGAGGGCAGTAACACTAGCAGTCACCAGCAGTGTTTGCAGTCCTCCTTCTTGTCCAAAGGCTCTTCGGATTGGTCTGTGTAGTCCATTGCAAGCACAGATGCCGCCAAAGCGCTAAGGCGTTGCAGCTCCTGCAAGTGCGCTGCCATGGACGCAGATGGGAGGTGATACCACACCATGGAAAAAGTTGGAGGCAATGGCTACGAGTCAGAACCCTGGCTGGTGAACCACCAGCTATAGCTGAGATTTATGAATGTTCATCCCCAAAGTGTTGGGATCTATGTGGTTTTATCACTTTTGAATGGTTGTTGGTCCATCCCCAAATCAACTTCACCATCTTCACCTCATCAAATGGCTGCTGTCTCCTTCTGCCGGACTTCCAAGTCCTCCACCTCATCCTGGTTTGCTTCACATTGCTCCTCCAGCTGCTGCAAGACCTTCGATGCGTCACCGCATCACTACTGGAATTGGTCAAACCGAGAATGAAAATAATGTGCATCATTGGTCAAACCTTAATTCAAATCCGAACATGTGGCATCATTTGGCATCATTTGGCCCGGGGTTGTCCGAACTGCACATGGTTTAGCATTTGAAGCTGTCGGATACTTTGAGGGCTTTCAGCTCGAAGATCTTCAAAAAAATGTTTGATTTAAGTCCTCTGTAGCTCCAGAAAACCTAGACAATGGGTCAAAGTCGCTCCAATTTTGAATCTACAGAACCTAGAGGCCCCAAGCTACATGGTGTTCAAGCGTGTTCAATGTCCTTTTCAGATCTTTTCTGGTTGTTCCAAGCTGCAACAAGGCAAAAACACCATGCACTGGAAGTCCCTTGACATGATAGGGGGCAAAACAATGCAGAACAGATAGTGCCACACATGCACGTACCGTCTTGAAGTTCACAGCTATGCCACCTCTGCAATGCCTGACAACTTCAGTTCCCACATACCCCAGTTGCATCAAAGGAGCCAGATTTGCTCTTGCCAACTCCTCACGTAGCGCTGCATTTTCAGCTTTCAACGTCTCTGCATTCACCAGCTTTGCTGAAAGCCCTGTGGTGGTCGGTCGGATCGGTTTTGGCATTGGGGAGGACTTGGTCAAAGCTTTGGGCGACGAAACCTGCCGCAGTGCACCAACTGGCGTAGCTGGCGTGGAGTTCTGCCTTCTCTGGTGCTTCTGTGCATAACCCTCGTTGCTTGTAGGTTTTGACCTTTGCCAACCGGCAAAGACTGGAGTCGCCCCCCACTGAACGAACACACTGGGGATTGATCCCACAGATCCAACCGCTGATTTACGACTCAGTCCAGAACTCTTGGACCGTGGTGGACCTGTTGGTCCTGTTGATCCTTTGGATCCTTTGGAAAAGGATCTCCTTTCGACAGTTGAAAGTGGAACCTGATTTGGATATTTTGGATGACCATTGATGATATTGATGGGTAGATGTTGAGCAGCTACCCGAATTCTTGGAGTTTGCAGGCATCTTCCTTCGCCCGAAGGCTTCATGAGATGCGTGCTGGGGACTTCCGACCGCCGAGGAGTGACGGCAAGAGAGTCACACGGAGGGCTTTTAGTTCCCGCCATGTGAGGCTCTGAAAACGACCGCAACTGGAAGGATCGTACTGAGCGCGGCGTGTATCCAACTTCAGCATCTTCACGAGACGGGCTCCGGCCACGTGGTGGATCCCGTGTATCCCGTGCTTCATAGGCAGATCTGCGTTTGGCGGTCTCAGTCATTGCTCTGTCCCTGAACTCTCGAGACTCCCTGAACCAAAATTCCTGCAGCGTGTTGGCCGTGTTGGTCATCACATTTGGGGGGTCTGACATTGGCCAGACCGATTCTCGAAGCACGGTCTCTTTCTGGGCCATGGCTTCGTTTCGCGATTGAACTTCGACTTGCTTCAGTCTCTGATCCAAAGATATTGAATCATACGTTGGATATCACGTATGTGACATATGTGATGTGTGTGTGTGTGATATGTATTGTTTCAGGGATGCTGCCTGTGGCACCTGAATCCTATCCTGGAAGATGGGCCTTGGATTCGAAGCTAGTGCTGCAATCAGAGCTCATTTTATTTCTTTTGCTGCATTTGAAGCTAAACATTAGAAGGCTTTCAGTCTTCCAAGACTTGCACAACTTGCTTTGCTTGTCCTGCCAACTCCAGTCTACGGTCTGGAGCCAAACTGGCATAGCACAGGGTTCTCTTGCTGAAAGGTTTTGGATGCAAACAAGGCCAGTGAACACTCACAACAGCTGCTAAATCAGCTTACACAAGCGCTTCAAATTCCTTCTCATTGGAGCCCTGCTGAATCCTACAGAACCTCATAGATCCTCTATTTTCGGAAAGAAATGGGTTACCGAGGTCAGGACTCCCTGAGGAAGTAGAAACCATGGCACGTGCCGACCACTCGTGCCGCCCAATAGCTAAGAAATGCTAGGAGATTAGCTGTCACAGCATCAGCCGTAGGTATCTGCACTGTCACTGTGCATCAAAAAGAACATGCAAACGGCATCCATTCTGTTCTGAACACAGTCAGAGGACATGACAGGAATAGATGAATAGCCCATGAACCAGAACAAGGCCATGTTCCCTTGGTCCCGTGTGCCAGTCACTATCTTGTGCAACAATTTTGACACACCGGTCTTCGCATTGGTTCTTTGATGCGCTCAACCAACATGGAAGACTTAGACTCTGCCTGTTTTTTTGCCATCAGCTTCGGTGGCCCAGGCTCATCTGTAGGCAAAAACAGAAGTGAAAAACGCCACAACACTGAAATAGAAGAGCTTGAGCCACCAGGGAAGCATACATCACTGACTTAGGTCATCTTTGCTCAGGAAGCAAAACTGGAAAGAATCGTCCCATGTTTCACAATGGTTCAGTTTGCGCCTGAGTAGCACCCACGAGACAAGCACGTGTGACGAAGGGCGTGCTGCCACGCCAAAAAGCTGTGACCTTGGATTCCAAGTGGTTTCCAGCTGACTTGACTGCATTTTAGCAAAACAGTACGGAATCACATGATTCCATGATTCCATACTCATGGACTCATGGTGCTGTTTTCACCCGAGCCATCGACACCTTCCTCTTGCGCAATGCGTTGGGCGCAGTCTACGACACCCTGGGATGATTCCATCAGATTATGGGCATGATCAGAAGCTCCCATATATAGATCAATATGGCCAAAATGAGCACATCCTGTGAGTCAAAGTGCCAAATTGAGCCCCTTCACCTTGTAGTTTCGTCGCATAGATGGCTCCAGTGTGGCGTCATTGGACAAGCGAACAAGGGATACCTACAAGGCGGAGACGTGCTGGAAGAGTCTTGTGTGAAAATGTTGAAAAAGGTGTCTGTCTCTGAGCGCCTAAGCATCTCAACCAAGCTGACCAAGCTTGGTGTTGACAGGTTTTACAGGTTTCATCATGTCACCCAGGCAATACAACAATCAAGCGCCTCGCAAGGACAGGAGATCAGTGCAGCCATCCCACCTGCCGCTGTTGCCTCATTTCTGTGGTCCGTCAATGAGTTGAACTGTTCACGCCTGAACCTGAACCTGTCACGTAGATGACACAAACAGCCGCAGAGACTGGAAAAGTATAGCTATTGTTTGAATTCAAAGTTTATATGAATTTGATTGCATTTGTATGGGTAAGCATGAGGCGTTCATGCCTGCAATATGGCACAATTGTTTTTTAGGTTTTTGTTCCCGCAATGTCTTGGCAAAACTGGGTGTATGCAGCAAGTTTCATCGGTGTCCGAGGACCTTGCACAAGCCAATCGGGAAGCAAAGTCGACCTGCGCTCTGAGGTCTCTAGATATCTCCAGACATCGCCAAGTTTGGCAAAGCAGTCGTCCAGTCACCGTCATGTTTGGCGATGGCGATGCCTCACGATACTTTGCCAGAGTGTCCCTTAAGACTTGGAACCTCGAAACATCCGGAATCTCTCCACAAATTGCCAACAAGGCTATAGCTGTGGCCGGGCCCATGATGCAAAAACTCGTGAACTGAGATCGCAACAGTCCATATCTGCTGCTTGCATAGAAAATCTGCAAGAAAAGGCCGAAACAGACGTAGAAACCGTGTGGAAAGCAACAGTACATTATGCTGCATCCCTGTTCGCACCTGTCTCCAAATGCCTGCTCCAATACCATCATAGAGGCCCATGATGCCGGTCTGAATGCATGGCTTCAAGCACGACATCTTGAAATCATGATAAATCATGTGTGTGTGTGGAACTGCAGTGGCTGTCAGCACTGAGGTGTATGCAGTTTTCACCGTCTGAGAGGCAAAAGAGAAGAAGTTCAACTTTGCACCCGGATTCTGGCGCAGCGGGGTGCTGCAAAGAACCAACACGGAACTGACAAACCTCTTGGGAACCATGACCGGCCTGCCCATGATAGGTGTCTTTTCGCGGCTCCCTCTTAAGTCATTGAAAACATCTCCAAGAAGTATGCTATCATGAAAACACATTGTAAAACTGAAACAAGTCACCCTGGACCGTGCGGCTCATCTTAGACTACTCTGCGAGCTCATTTGTCTTCATATATACTAAGCAAATGCAGCCCGAAACATCCACCACGCTCTTTCAGCAAGTGACAACGAACGAAAACTCAGAGAGATTGCCAGTTATATAGTGAGTGTGCATCCATTTGCATCCTCGCAGCCGTTTCATCGTTTTGCTAGTTCCCATTCCATCCTGCATGCTCGCAAGATTCATCCGGATGGCCAAAGTATTGACCTCGGAGTGCCCTTTTTGGGCCCAATTGGGCCATCAAGTTGCTGTGATCCGTGGGAGTCACCTGCAACCGCAAGTCTGCATAGTCTGCCACCAAGAAGCCGGGTGGATAAAAATCCATCCAAAAATTCCTCCAACCTCAGATTCTCCCAACATTTTGGCATACAGAATCAACGCCAGTATCGACTCGTCGACCATTGACTCATTGAGCTGAGGAGCACCAGAGGTGCTGAAGGCAACCCAACCTCAAGGATGTTGAGTCACGGATGTCAAGGATGTCAAGGATCGTAGTATATCGTAGTGACTAGATGTGACTAGTGACTAGTGACATCGCCGGTGTCAATCAACATGTCAGATGTCAGATGTCGGTGAAGCCCTGCCTGGCAGAGGCTTGGACGCCATTGCTAGCCGCACTTTGATGGAAAAAATGGCTGCAGCATGGCTTTTTAAACTTGTTTCATCTTGTTTCAACTCCTGGACTTGTGAACAAGATTCTGAATTGTTCAGGGGTTGAATCGAATCAATGTTCAACATTTTCACATATTTTCACAATAACATGATTGTTCCTGGCAGTTTCGAGTCTGATTCCAAATCTCACTGTGGTAGCCGCAATTTCCGGAAAACGTCTGTCTTTCCAGAATCCTTCCAGCAGCATGAGTCCCCCGCTGCAAGTTTATCTCAGTCTACAACTCTCTGCGCTCACTTTTGACTCGGTTTGCTGCTGTTTGGTGGCGACAATGTATGTCATACCATTCCTGCGCCACAACCCCGAGTGCGCAAATCGCAAGCCAAAGCACGTGAAAGAGTTGGAATTTCAGTCAATCTTGAAGCCACGGGGTATGAATATGATTGTAAAAGCATGTGCTCCTCATCATTCTTGCTTTCAACTGGAAAGCAAGCTCGAAGAGTGGCAAAGTCACGGTCAACATACCTTTCAGAGAGCACGGCCATAACATGATCAAGAAAACCAACAAGTTTATGTGGACCCTTTAGAGCCCAAAGGCATTCAATTGCGTGACATTTAGAGGCAATGCAACCAGACCTCCCTGCCATTGCCTTGGCGGTCCAGCAGCAAAGCCCTGTACATCTGCATGCTCATCATGGACCTCGGCATGAGGTGCCCGTTGATCATTGTCACAGTTGTCACAGTTGTCACGGTTGTCACACTGCCGAGCAACAAAACAAAGACGGCGGCAGAGCTCGACCGCTTCCCCTGAAACAGCAAACAAGACCCAAAACTGCGAAAAAAAACTGGCTCTCAGTGAGGCGAGCAACGTTCGAGCCTTTTCAATCTTTCAAGTTGCCAAATGGCTCTGACCGGTGCTGCAAACAGGAGCCTTGGCTAATCCAAGACTTCCCTGACACTCCAATGGCGTCCTTCAAAGCATTGATGCTGCCCACTATGGAAACAAATAACTAGATTGTAAGGGATTGTATCTATCCAGCACGGCATGTCTGTGTGTGTGTCTAATAATTATGTTGCCCTGTCCTCTCCAAAGTCGCCAGCATGAGTCAAAGGCCTCGATTTGATCAAACCAATACAATTTGTGCCGCTGAAACATGCTGAAACCCTCAGCTTTGCAGCTGCTTGATCTGCTTGTCTGCGGCCTTCCGTGTTCGTCCAGAAGGTGCTTTGCTTTGTGATGACCCTGAGGGACGACCTGCGAATTTGACTTCTGCATCTTCTGCACCCTCTCTACCGCACGAGAAAGGGCAACAAAACCGCTCGACGGTCAAACAAAGTGGAATGCCATCATCGTGGCCGGCCGAATTGAGGATTCCGGATTCACATCAGTTTGGAAGGGTCACTATGTAAGATGCTTATGGATGCTTTTTCCCCCGTTTATTTCGCTCAAAATTACTCAACCCAGCTGACCCAGCTCCACCTTGAAGTCTTGGTAGCCTTGCTCTGCTGCCTGACCAAAGCCACATGGAGGAGGTGAACAATTGATGGCATGGGCATGGGCAGCATGGCTCAAGAAGACTTCCTCAGAATTCATCTTTTCGACACCTGCTTCAAGTAGACCAAGCTGTTCAGTTCCTCATAGGCTTGTGAACCAAAGCACAGCATGTGACAGTGCTGCTTAGGTGTCCAATGCTCCAGGCAGCATGAAAGCCAACCGTGTCAAACTTGAAGCGCCACAGGCATCTTCCACGACCATTTTCAAGCATTTGGTAGGTTCACTAGGCCGACCCATCAGCAGCGGAGCTGCCACTCAACTCAAGCCAAGGATCGAAGGATAGGAAGGGTGGCTTCGGCCACAATGTGGCCAGCTGTGCAAGAGGCGGAAATGTCGTGAAAATCCGTGGCAGAAATTTGAGAAAACCTGCATTGCATAACGACTCTGTTCGCTGGCAACCTGGTCCAGCCTGGTCTAGGATCAGACCATCAGCACCCTCAGTGTCCAGTTTCAGATACCTCAGCGGCAAGGCCGAGGTTGCGCCACTTTCTGTGTGGAAGACCAGTCACTTTGCGCTGAGATACCAAGGAGTGCCATGCTTTCCAAAAAGAGCCTCACAGCTTTGCACGGGGAAAGCGAAAACACAAAACTTGGAGAAGTCCGGCGCTCAGCCCGCAACTCCCAGATCTGTTGATTTCACATCCACCACCTCGGCCTGCAATCTGTATACATTCGCTCATGTGGACAGGTTTGAGATTCCTTGAGAACTAGAAATCTACAAAGTCATGAAATAAGTGTGACAATGGTGTACATTGTACATCATAGATTGTCAAAAGATCTTGAAACAGGGTCGTCCTCCGTATCATACCGGGAGCCCACAGTCTCGAAGCAACCTGGCTCTCCACATTCCATTCCACTAAAAATTTGTGACTAAAAGAGGTCGACTGCTCAAACAGGTGTCGCCAGTTGACTGAGCTGGTCAAAACTAAGGCGTCTGAATTTCTCTAGTTTTGCTGCCTCCACGGAGTGAGCTAGTCAAGAATCATAGCGGTCGAAACATGCCAAGCCAGGCTGCTCCACTCAGAGTCCTCTTTGTTGATGTACAACTTCGCCTAAACCCAGAAACCAACAGGATCCCTGGAACAAGGAACTGCAAGTATCAGCTGGCATGTTGCTGGCTTCAGCCGAAGTAGCTGAGGAGCTGGTCCAAATGGCCGTCTCCTATTGCGAAATGGCAATCAACATATTATTCTATATTAATCTATATCGTGTCATGCAAATTTATTCATATAATTGTGTGTGTGTGTTTCAATCTCCTATCTCTTCGCTTTTCCTTTCAATTGAATTTGCTGAGCATTTTAACCACTGACAATTTTTCAATCAAATGATCAAGCAATAGTTTGCAGAATGCCATAGACATCATGATTCTTACTTCTCCCTTGAAGTGCCTATCACATCAGCCGACTCAAACGCGTCTGCATCGCGTCCTCCAAAACAAGTTCACCAGAGCTGATGAAAGTTCCAAGGCGTTCTCGAATTGCCTCCAGCAAAATTCAGAATGTCACACACTTGAAGGCCATTGAAGGCCTATGGACAAAAGTGTCCAAAGATGTCCAAAGGATTCCAAAAGGATCCAAAAGGTATCAGTATCAGTTGCGCTTGATAAGTGAATACCCCGGTGCAATGCATTCCTACTAGTTTGCCGTCTCTGGTGCCAAAGAACACTCAATGGTCCTTTGCAAGCGCCCTGACTTTACGACTACTTGTCCCAGTATGATCGACAAGGATGCTCGTTGAATCGCCCTTTGAGCTTGTGGTGAAAATGCCTCAAAGCAAGCCTTTATTCTAGTCGGAACGCGCGTCAATCTCTTACATCCCATGTCCTGACATAATGTCTGATTGTACTGCGGAAATGACGCGAATTTATCCTGATTTCTTTCTAAAAAGTATGACCCAGGATGACCCAAGGTCCCAGATGTCCCAGCTTTCTCGCCTTTGCTGCTGCTGGATTGGGTTCCACGGCCACTACCTGCAAAAAGATAGCACCAAGGCAGGTTTCGACTCAGGGAGAGAGGTCGTGGACCTGCCAAAATTCTCAAAACCGGAGAAAAGTCTAAGAATCAGAGTAAGCTCATTTGAGATCATGCTTTTCAGATCAAACACATCTAAATACCACATACGACGTGAATGTTGGGACTGAAGCTTGGTTTCGACATGTTTCGACTTTGGCTCCAGGCCTGGAAACCTGCATCTAAGTACCGTTCGCCTCACGCAAAAACTGTGCAATTGTCGTGCTTCGCCCAATGGCTGGCATCTCTAAAATTGTGTAAAGGTATGTAAAGGTCATGTTTTTCTTAATGAAGAAAAATTGACCCATCTGATTTTTTTCTCAGGCCCAGACTGCTTTGCCCAAAGTTGGCACCAATGTCCATGACGATTCCTCCATCGGCATCTGATGTGACAAACTGACCATGCCTGGAGGCGTTTTCACCGACTCCTTCCGTTCTGCTCTTTGTCGACATCCGCCTCCTTTCACGGCAAGAGCTCGGGGCAGCTACCAAGGTATGAGAAAGTTCCATGCACTTACGATGAAGATGATGAAGCTATTTGGATCTATTTGGAAGACATCACTGCATGATTTTCTGCCTCTTGCTCTCCGGATCTGCACAATTGCTTGGATCTGCACCAGTGATGACCTGAAGCAATTGTACACTGGACATGATGGAACAGGAATGATAAAAACGCTGAAACGTGGCTTGTCCCAGAGGTCTGCGTTTTAAAACGACTCAATCGACTGACATGGCTGAAGATATTGAATCTGCCCTCCGTGACTTCGTGGCAGCCATGGCTGACTTTACAGTCGTGTGTCCCTTGCCACTAGAACTGCCAAGACAGCCCAGTTTTGTTCTAGTGTTTGGAAATGCAGACAGCAGCAAGGGAACACGCGCTCAAGACTTGGATTCCAAGATCACAGATTGCCTTTGGCAATGCGATCGATTCTGTTCCCAGAACGCAGCCATTCCAGGACATGGAAAAATTATCAACCTGCTCTCCACACTGTAAAATGATAATGGCAACAGTAAACTTCAAGAGTTCCATATCCATGACATACGTGAACTTTTCCCAAAGTCACGGTGTTTTTCTTTTCTTCTTCCGCTGGTAGATTTGGATTTTTTCGGGTGGAGATTGCAGGTCGAGGGAAGATTAACTCTTCTCCGAATACTCAACTGAGGATGCAGCCGTTGCTCAATTAGGTGTGTGCAATCAAGAAATTGCAAGGAAGTTCCATTGCATCAGATGTACAGATGAACGACTTGGCGTTAGGAGCCACTTTCTATCATATACCCCAGCACATCTTGTCAATACTACCTATGAGATAGATGTAGGAGCCACTGTCTACTGCCCCAGAACGGCTTGTCGTCACTGCCTATAAGGTAGTGAGTTGTGAAGTATGTGCGGAAGACTCTTTGATACTTGTACAATCTACTGAATCTATATACTGTAATCTCAGCCGTGATGCCTAAGGCATTAACAGATCAAACAGATCAAACAGATTCAACTTGTTCTCACTATCCAGCAATCGAGCCCCGTTGCTAGAAATACTTCCAAGCCAACGCCAGGCTGGGAGCTTGGCCAAGTTCGGAGAGATCGCGCCTTATTTTCTGCCCAGGCAATGCTTGTCCCACAAATTGACATTGGCATATAGTGACATATATCATATATTGACATATTTTTTGGCATTCCATGGCATTCGGGTGTTTCAAGTAGTTCTAACATGTTGTGACACGTCGTAACAAGTTGCAGTGAGCTTTGAGTTTTGCATTGCCTGTGCCACGCGCGATGCACTGCAAACCCAGGAAGCTGGCAGCCGAGAAAAGTGCTTGGATGGCATGCCATGCCCAAGCGACATGTCATATGAGTCACACAGAATTGTGGTCTCAGAAGTTTCTTTGGACTGATCCAAGGATCAATACATGCCACAGATGCCACAGAAACCATGTCTAGCATGTCTAATCACGTGTCTCTTCACTCGCATCTGGCTTTGTGATGCTTTGTGCACCCAGTAAGAAAGAAAGGCCCCATAGCCTTAGGAGCCCCTCTGCTCCTTTAAGGAGCAAAAAGGCAATGAGTCTTTTCCAAATGGTGGAGAACGCAGAAAAGCATTGGCCAGCATGGCTTTCAAATTCATCGGCCCGGCAGTAGTCGCACCAGCGTTCTGAACGTGGCTTTGCTCAGGGGAGAAACCTGCCCAGAGTCCAGTTATCTCAAAGTTAAGTCACACTGCAGTATCACGAAACATGCCAAAATATGTTGTCAGCCACTCTTAAGTCTGTTAAGAATTCTTTCAAATTCTCTCAAAGAGAAGTCAGTGGCAATCAGTAGCAATCAGCAGCAATTCCTCTCGTCAACTAGATGTCACTCTCTGGGAATCTCAACAGAGGTGTGACTTCCAAGCGGCCTCCTCACTGCTGAGAACCTGACGCAGTATGCTACCACCACTGCACTCATGGATGAAATGGATGAAACTGGTGCAGTCTTTCATCATAGCTACTATTCCAATCTGTTCCATGTCTTCATCATCTCTTCCCATTTCATTTCATTGTTCCAGACTCTTCCAACTTGCAAATCACAGATTCAGACCTCCGAGCAAAGCTGATGACGTGTTCAGTTGGCCAAACATCCTTTGAGGCTGAATACAGTAATCATATTATGAAAATCGGTGAAAGCGTAACAGTTTGAAGTGATACATCATGGTCAACAGGGGGGGTCCCAAAACCAGTTCGGCATGATAGATCATGGAGGCGGCATCCAGTCTACCCCAATTCATTGTTAAAGCAAATCGAACTCCAGCTAGCAAGCTAGCTTTCGTGATATTATATACATATTATATTTATATATATATATATACTAAAACCTTTTAAAAAAAATGTAAGTCAACTACTGTAGTTTTTAGCTCCGTGCCTGTTTTTTCATCAGCTCTTCCCAATGATCCAGGCCATGCTTGATCAGGTGTAGCAGCTCCTCCATCTCCTTCTCCGAAATGATACCTTACATGCAATGGGATGATGGAAAATGGTAATATATGGCAATATTGTTGATGATGATGATGATGATGATGATGGTGATGGTGATGATGATAGTAGTCACGGCTGCGATTCTGGGAGATGCAACAGACTGCCCTGCTGATGCCAAACCGGACATAACTCATAGCTGATCCAAGGGCTGAAAGTCGAAGATGGATTTGAACAGACAAAGAGTGCGTGGTGAGACCCGAGAGGCATCGAGCGAAAGGTTAGAGGCAAACCAGACTTCTGCCGAAGTACCCTGGCTCTTCCACCTTCCCACTTGATCCTGCGGCCACTGCAGACAACAAATTGGGTAGCTGGGTAGCGTGTTCTTCTGCGAAGCTTCCCTTGCCTATGCTTGAGACGAAGACCAAGCATCAGACTTGGAACTAAAACATATTACAGTAAAACATTGTTTAAGGCATCTTCGCTGCGTTGAGGGCGTTATATAATCCCTCCATTCAATGGCTATGATCTGAAAGCTGGGTCCTTCTGCGTTTGGAAGAGCATGCTTGCCAGCTGAATCGTGCGAACCTTGTCTGCCACCCCTTCAACTGAGATTTTCTGCTCCACAGTTCCAAAAAAAGCGTTGGTCCTGCAATGTGCCCAACATGCACAACAAATGGGCAGCTGTTTCAACATGTTTCAACCAAGAGAAGGACCTTGCTGATGTCGCGGGCTCCAATTCCTTACCCGCAGAGTGACATCTGAGTTCACTAAAGTAAAAGTGTCTCGCTTTGAGTGGTAATACAATGAAAATATATGAAATACGATTTGAAATACGTGTTCGAATTGTTCGAGCATTTCGAACTTTGTCCGAACAAATATCTTGATCTAACTCTTTTCGCAGGTCCCCTGGTCCCAACTGAGGCTGCCACCATTGTCTTTCAGGATTCGGTCTCGGTTGTGAAACGATGCAAAGCCAAAAAGAACGGACTCTCAAGGGTGAATGGGCTGAGTTCAAGAGGGGACTGAAGCACTCTCAGAGATTCTTCATCCGGAATCATTCGGATGGAAAGGAGGGATTAGTGCCGCAAAGGATCGCGCAGCTTCGATTTCCTTGGCTCAGACATTATGACATTGTCCGACAAGTTCTTTTGATCATGGGCTGGAATCCTCCATCTGTTCTCTCCGTCCAAGCGCTGCTTGCTAAAGCTCAACGAGACAACGAGACACGTTTTTTCAAATGATAAATTCTGAGCTGCTACCCAAGGAGCCGATAGCGAATCTCCAATGACATCAGCGCGCGCATCTAAGGAGAGGCACTCGCTCTTCAGCAATTGATGAGAAACCTGAGAGAAGGAAAATGTAAGCTGAGATGGAGCAACTCGTGTCTTCTGACTGATATGATATGTTATGATAAGCATGGGAAAATGCGACCATTTGCCACGTCGTGACAACTTGAGTTGCTTTGATAATTTGAAAAGGAAAAAGGAATAAAAATAGCAACAGCATGAATCAACTGTGCAGCCAAAGAAGCTGTATGATGAGCATCGATAAAAGCCACCACGGTGAAAAGATCAAAATACTGTGCACCTCCATTGATCTCAACTGGAACAAACCTTAGCTGAGAATCGACTGTGAATCTACAGCCATCTTCAGCATCTGCTGTGGGTTCAGATTGACGTCAGACTGGATGCGGAGAAGGCTCGTAAAGTATGGGGAGAGCAGTTCGCGCACCTGTAGAGGCTACTCTTGAAATCCAAAGTTGGCAAGAAAAACCTCAAAAAGGCTGCCCCTGCATTGACTTCAAGAAGGAGAAAGGAGAAGGCATATAATGTGCCTTTTGACATGCTTGCTGCTTGGCTGCGAAATCAAACTGGAAAGCTGTTCCCGAAGTTTGTTTAGCAGCGGCTCTGGGACTTCTAACAAACAATCTCTTCCCAAATCCAAAAAATTGGACACTTCTTCCAGCACGAAAAGAACAACCTGCCTTGACACGAATGCTGTGTCTTCCTCAGTCGGGCTCAGGATTTATTACCTGTCAAGACATCTCGATGCATCTCTTGCATCGTCTGCAGATTTCAGCCAAGCATCGATGCACAAGCTTCTTTTCCAGAATCCTCCAATCCTGGGCAGAATTTGAGTCGACTCAAGAGACAAACCGACAAAACAAAAAAAGTCGCTACGACCTGTGCCTTGGGAAACACGGCATCGAAAACGCGTCTGAACGAGTCGCATTCAAACCGAGGGCTGCAAAGTCGTCAGCCGCATCGATGGAGGCGAGAAGCAGCTCAGCACCTTCAGGCGACAGCATTTCATCCTGGTATCCTGGTGTCCATCCTGGTTCCTTATGATCCTTATGACTCGTCATCTGGAGTATTTTTTACAGTTTACAATAATTTACAATAATTTACAATAATTTACAATATCTGCTTGGAAATCATGACCAAAATATATACCAAAATCAGGCTTTGCTGCGTGACCTGTCCTGAGCTGGACTCCACACAACTTGAAACATGAGAGCCTGAGGCTCGTCTTGGAAGCATTCCCACGTCCATCAGTCGCGTATACTCAGCACCTCAGCGATATTTCTGGAGGAAGGTTCCAAGTAAAGGCGAAGCAGGAAACAAAAAAAGGCTGCATCATTTGGGTATCGAAACACTGTTCTTTCCAGCTCTGAAATCACATCAAAAACGTGTGGGATTTCTGCAAGGAACGCAACATGGACAAGAAGAGCTTCCGATAAACCACTCGCTCCTGTCAAGTCAAGCAGGCCGCTTGCGCGGTCAGTGTGTCACAAACTCAAAGCTAATTATTTTTCGCTGATACTCCCAATCTCCTGCTGTGTCCCCTTTGCAGCGACACCAAACCTTTGGTGCAAGGTCACAGCAGAAAAAGGATGAAAAAGGGGATATGCACATGCATCGACCACTTTCTCTACACTTGCTGATGTGCAGCATTGGATCACCTCAAGCTTCACCTTTTCCAAAGCTCATCTATTATCATCATTTATCATCTATATGCAGAAAGATATCTGGTTTGCAGTCACTGTCAGTCTGAACAATCTCAGAATATCTAATGAATATCTCAGATGCGCACCGCTTCTGCTCTGTAAGGCTGCCGGCCGATTTTTCCTTTCTGACGGCAACCCCGCGGTCCTGGTCCCACTGGTGGCAAGGCAGATGCATCGACAGTCCAAGGACACAAACTGTACTGTACTAACATGTACTAACGACATGCAGAAGACAATGTCATCCCTCTCCGTCCCTTTTGTGCAATAAGAAACATGTGAAATTCACACCATTCAAATCATTTGTATGAAAAGGAAAACAGAAAGTGAATCATTGTGTGCATGGTAGCATCTGGGAAGCAGTCTCTCAAAGCTGTTTCAATCTGATCTCGTGCCAAGAGGCCACTTTGATCTCTTCAAAGCCCCACCACCAGTGGCCCTCAGCTGTGGACTGCAACCAGAACAGTGACTGTGGGTCAAAAAGGTGGTAGCCTACACATCAAAATGACTTGTCAATGATGATCAATGGATCAAACACAGCGCCATCACAGTCACTGTACCCTGTATGCTGGCCCTTTGCTCTAAGTGCAGATTTCTGCATGCTTCCTTTCCCTTGCGAACAGCACCCACCTAAATTCTAAGGTCGTTCGGCAGCACCAAGCAATGTCAGCAAGCGCGGCACTGAGCGCGCAGTGGCACCAGCGACACCCAGCGATGCATCTAAAGGCAGCAACCCGAACCAACTGCTCGAGCATCAGTTGGATGCTACATGATGCTTATCCAAGTCACGCAGTGGACAAAGGATGGCAAAGGCACATCTTGGGTCTTGGATCATCTTGGATCAGCAATTTTGTGCACAGCCAAGCTGCCCATGCTTGCACAGTTCCTGGTTCGATGCCCTTTTCCTTGCCTCAGTTTTTGACGGAAATGGCCAAACTCAGCGGGATGGGAGACATCTATATAATACCTGACCTTGGACAAACAAGAAGAGCATCAACAACTGCACTGCATCTTGGGCGCTATTCTCTTGCCTCTCCGGGTCAGTGTCTGTAGTCTCTGGTTCAGGATGCACACCTTTCCAGCAACTTTGCTACTTGAACCCAGTCGCTTCAGATTTCGCTTTTGTCAATCCAAAATACAGTGCCAAATGGTGCAACAATGTTGAAGCGCTTTGAAAATACAATGGTTCCACTTGCTTCAAGTCACTCAAAACATGAGATGTTGGGAGCTCTGGACCCTGTTGCGCCTCCAAGCTAGGCTAGATAAGCATAGCTAAGAATAGCTAAGCTAGATAAGTTGTAAAGGTGTTATAAGGATCTAAAAGCTCTAAGTGTTGGATCTCATTCCCTTCCAATTTTCAGGTGCTGGCAACAGCTCATCTGAATGTCAAAGATTCTATGGTCAAATTCTTCAAATATCAAGGACTCGCAAACCTTATTTCTGAGTCACAAAACAAGAGGTGCTTACACCCAAGGGTGATATTGACATATATTGACATATATTGACATATATTGACATATATTGACATATATTGACATATATTGACATATATTAACTTTATGCCTTGCACAACTGAAAAACTCTGGCAGTTTTGGCAGCTCTGGCGGTTTGTACCTTTCTGCAGGTGCAGCTTTGGGTCCTGCCACGCTTCTGACGCTGCAGGGGATGTGTAAAAACTGACATTAAAAATGACACCCTAAAAGGTACCTCTAGCCACTGATCTAAGCTATCATAAGCTATCATAAGCTATCTAAGATTACCTATGATTACCTTATATGAGATGAAGATCCGCAACAGTTGAGACATTGAGACGATGCTTTCCAAGCCTTTTCACGATGCATCGCAGCACGTTGGCAGTTCTCGTCCTGAGGTTCGCCCAACTCAGCATCCAAATGCTCCAGCATTGCGTCCAGTTCACGCCTTGGCTCTCAAAGAAGAAAAAACACGTCTGCGTCAACATGTCACTCAAATAATGGATTGGAAACATGTGGAAATGAACCACACATATATATATATATACATACATAATATATATATATATATATCCACGTTGCCTATAACTGCTGCACCTCTTAGGCGTCTCACATTCGGCCAAAAGTGGCGCAGCATTGAGCTGAAGCGCAGCCACATACATATCATATAAGATGGTGTAACGTGAGAATCGATGAGAATCGTATATAAAGTTTGGATAGGTCTGGAGATATTTTTTGAAGTGATACGAGTAGCATGGATAGTGCATGCAGGAATGGATGCTAAATGTTGCAGTTGAGTCTCTGGTGCACAGCCTTGAAACGGCCATCAGATGCCAGTGCATCGCTAAAGGCTTTCTTGGACAGGAACATCCTTGCAGAGACCAAATAATTTTCAGCTTTGAAGCATTTTGCTATTTTTTGACCTCACAGCTTGAATGGAGTGAATACTGATGAGTCGTTCCTTCTGGAAAGCTTTACCTGAAATGGACCCTTGAGATTTCTGTCTCAGGGGCAGTTCTTGACGAAGACATCCCAAGATTGCGATCTGAGCCTCGCATGCTAAAACTCGCAGCAAAAGCTAAACCATTGAGGATTGGAATCTCATCATTTCAGGAAATGTCTGGAAAACTGTACCATTCTGTACCTAAAAGCTCTTCACCTGTCACGTGTATGGCATGCTTCACCCCTCAACAAAATCCAGCCTCAGGCGTCTTTGTGAGACCCAAATACTTCAGCAGCAAGCTGCAAGTTGTTGCATTCACCAACAAAGTCAGAGTTGCGAAGCCAGAGACAAAGAAGACCTCCAGGTGACTGGAAATGGACATCAAAGAGGAGGGGATTCAGTTTTTCCCTACAGAAGTTGGCTCATGTCAAATAGACTTGGAATGTTTATGGAACCAACAACTGAGTGGATCATAGTATAGTACAGTATATACTATAAATCATTATAAATCTATGTATGGTCTAAGGATGTCTAAGGAACGTGGATTTCCAAGCGTCCTAAGTAAGCCATAGTACTTCCATAGTAAGCCTAGCCTATTCGCATTGCCTCTTGGAAAGCCTATTGAAAGCCAAGGTGCCATGAGGTTTGCCGTGTACTCCCTGCCCTGTTGGATCAGCAAGTTGCGCATGGAAAGCGCCAAAGCGAGGCCAACAGCTCCCCGGAGCCCACCCCATGTCATGACCTGCGGCTTTCTACATCGAAAGATTTGACGAACTTTGAAAAAAACGTTGAACTTTGGAGAATTGGGAGAAATTGGATTTGAATTTCTGAGCTCTTCTCACTCTCCGATTAGTCCAATTTCAAGAGAATCTATGACTCGTCTATGACTCGTCTATGACTAGTAATCTGAGTAATCTGGGATCGTTCACTCTCTCTGTAGCTCCAACGTGCAGGATTTTCATCAAATTGGCGAGATCTCTGCATTGTGTGGGGATTCAGTTCTGAGCTCTCGGCCAACCATTCCTTCCAAGTGGTTTTCCTTCGATTTCAAAGGCGATTCGTCGGACATTAGCCATGGACATTAGCCATGGACATTAGCCATGTACTCATCATGTACTCCATGTACTGACACTGACAGCTACTTAGAGTACCAAACCTACCGGTAACCTACCACACATTCATGTCGCAATGTCGCAAGCGAGTGGCGTTACGTCGGAGCCGCCCACACAGTTCAAGACAGGTAATAGAACTCCAACCATCACCCCACGAGCGAGATTTGCAAGGATGTACAGCAGGGCCAACCAGCCATAATCAGCCCACTCCACATTCTTCGTAGATGTGTAGGAGAAAACTCCACAGAGAACAAATAGGATGGTGTTGCCAAAGAACTCTAAGAGGTGCCACACAGCTGCGAGACCATCCTCACGCAAAAATCCATGGAGAAATCAAGAGAGGATCCAAAAGTCCCGCATAAATTTTGACCCCACTTTTGGGCTCTGCTGTCAACTTCACCATAGCTACTGTTATGAGATTTTCTGCGGGCCAGGTATCGGAAAATGCAAAAAAAAGAATCCTCATTTTATCATCATTTTATCCTCATTCTGGAACCTCATTAAATTTGCATCAGATTTTGCCTTGGATTTTTATCATCATTTTATCCTCATTCTCGATCCTCATTTTATCCTCATTTCCTCATCAAATCCTCATTTTATCCTCATTTTATCCTCATTTTATCCTCATTTCCTCATCAAATCCTCATTTTATCCTCATTTTATCCTCATTTTATCCTCATTTCAGGATTAAATGAGGTTCATGAAACAGGATGCAAATTAAATGAGGTTAGACAATGAGGATTAAATGAGGATAAAATGCAAATTTCAATGATTTTGGTCTTCCCAGTGTGTGGCTCACAAAATCTCATAAAGCTACTGAGTTACTGAATCTTTCCAATTCTAAAAAAACGTCGAAACGCATCCAAACGCCTCTTATGATAACTCAGCACAGAAAAATACACGGCCAAGTGCCTTTGGGTCCAGTCCTTGTCACAAACAAGTGGTTGAGCATACTTACCAACCATCAGGGCAGCAAAGATCGTCGCCAACACACCACTCAGCTTTAGCTCGTTCTCACCAACGAAAAAAGAAACGTAAGCGACTGTGATTGTCAGAGTCACCTGTGCCAGGGATTCTCAGGGGGTGAGCCCAGGGGATAGTTCCTGGATCCAAGCTCTTGAATCAGAATCCAAGATGGACAGTCGCCAACAAGACATGCTGAAAGGCGAAATCCACCAAACCATCCCAGCCAACTTGTTGAATCCGTACCATTCCGATCCATTCGGACCATTCAAAGTACCAACCAGAATCCAGCAGCTACGGTCGAGTTTTATCCTTCAAAAAAATAAATAATAGCATGTTCAACTACTGATTCTGGGCACTGATTCTGCAGTGAGAATACTGTAGCAAAGGTTGCTGCAGGATGCTAGTTCATTCAATTGCATACAACAAAAGTCGTTGAGCAGTTTTCACCCGCTTGCCTGAACGAGGGAGTCTGAATGAACAAGCCGATTGGAAGCCAGGGACATCCAGCCTCAGACATGCTATCCAACAGAGAAAAGAAAATCAACTATTTTTTCATATTTCGTCCCGTAAATAGAAAGTCTATTGCCGTAGAATCATATTTCCGCATCCATCTGGTACAGGAGTTGTGATCCCTTGCAGATCAACACAGTTGGACCAAGCGATCAACTGTATAGTCCTAGCAGGGACGTCTTTTTTTGTGTTCCAAATACATCTGATTTGACCTCCACAGGTCGTTGGCAACCTCTTCGCACTGAGACCATTCACTTGAAATTTGAATACAAGTGAATGAAAATGTGCCACTTGATATTTCCAACACCATGCAGCTGCAAATAAAACCGGAGCAAACCCATGAGCCCCTGCATTTTGATCGTTTTGTACTAGACACGTGCCACAATGACTCCGCATGCGGCTCCAAATGCAGTGCCACCCACGGCCAAGCGAAGGAAGCTCAAGATGATTTCTGCACTGGCCTGTTCTCCTGACGTCAGAAATTGGGTTGCCCATGTTACACGATGGGTGCCCGGAAAATTGATGGCTTATCATTGAAGCTATCATGTTCTGTATTAAAATTGCCATGTAGGATTGTGAAAATACCCTATTTTCAGAAACACCAATGTGGGATTCCATCATGGGATTGTTTTGCAGCCGAGGTTTTTGGATACTGGGGCACACCAGAGCAATACCTCTCCTTTCACCTGATCCAATGTTTTATTGTGCTCCAAAGAATGACATCTAATCCTCTGTGGATCAAAGAAGCATTGAACAATATCCTTAATGGTGTCGCATATCCGGCACGATTGGTCTCCCATGAATGTGGCATGATGATCATGCGCATCATGCACCACCTCTCCGGACTTCTCCAGACACCCAGTTCTGCTCTCTCCTTTCATCAAGTTGTAGAAAACCAGCCACACGACGATTGCCACACCATCCTTGGCTGTTCAAAACCGCTTGGGCCCAAGCGTCATTTCGACATTTGGCTAAGCATGGTGGTTCATCATGTCAGGCAATGTCCAGTCAAACTGTCTGAGCATCGTTGAGAAGGGACTCGCCCGCGATCTGCATAGTGAGCACCCTGCTTGCTCCCATCTCCTGACAACGGAGGCTTCGTTTCCCAACTGTGTTCAATCGGATTTGCCAAGAGTCAGATGAGTCAGGAAACCAGTGCGCCAATCACGACATCCAGAAAAATCACACCTTGCCTTCAACAGCCCCACTACGGCCACAGGGTCTGTCGCCGCCAAAACACTGCCAAAGGCTGCACATTCGAAGTCTCCCCAACCTCTGGTGCTTGCCAGACTTGCCACGCTTGCAGTTTGGCTGCTTAGCTGCTCCAATGCATGAAAAGATTCAGCACAGCTCGAGAAAGGTTCGGGTTCGTTCTGGTCCGTGGCAGCCAAGAATCCATATGGAAAGACAAACTTTGCAACTACATACATCAGGGCTGTTCCAATGAGGACTCCAGGTCCTTCCATTTCCCAGTGGTCAGGACAATTTGATGGGGATTCGCCACTTGGTGTTAACATGATCCCTAGCGGCTCTAGCGTTCTCAGTCCTGCCAAGACTATGCATTGAGCTGCTGTTCGATGAAAGTCATGCCAAACCTTGGCAAGTCGCATCAACGCTGAAAGATCACAAAACATAAAACATGACAACGGTTCGTCATCAATTTGCAGATGTTTGCTGATTTTTCTGCAAGAATAGCCACAACAGCACTGTGCTCAGTTGCCTAGGCACAATTGACATGGCATCACCAAAGAGAAGTACCGGAAGGAAGGCATAGAGAAGAAGGTGAGGGTCCTTGTTTCCAGCTCTAACGGCATTTGACGTCAGAGTTGCTGAGGCTAGTACTGAAGTGTCGTTTGTGTGCCGGTGCGTGAAATCCAGCGATGACACCATAATGTCTATCGTAGATTTTGACGGCATCAAGCTCAGGCCGCACACACTGTCATTCTAAGTGCTTCCTTGGGTCAATCGCAATCCAGAGGCTTATACTCTCTGAGAGTGTCCCCAAACTGCCAGCACTCTCAACGTCCAGAAATCCCATGCCCCAACCCACAATCCTTAGTGGGAACGCAACAGGTAAATTCAGCTATGTGCGTGGTACTCACTGAACGCATTGTCATCATAGAAAACAAGACCTACCATTATCGAAGCGAAGAAAGCGAAGATCGGGGAAAAATGAAGAAAGTTTCTTGGAGTCCATGACGAGCAGCAGCAATGAGACAGTGTACGGGATCGTGGCAAGACACTGGCACCGCGAAGTGATGTGAGTAATCGTCAAACCTCCAAAAAAATGACAAATGGATACAATTCGACTGTGTTTGAAAAGGTGGAGGGAAACAACGAATCGTTTCACGGATAGATGACTGTCATTGAATGTCCGATTTGATCTAGCAGCTTGTGTTCACCAGAGAACACTTCTGAGGCAGTCAAACTGATACCTGTGATACCTTCTGCCGCAGAAAACTCCAAGTGAGAATGTTTGACATAATGTGTCCAGTAGACTCAAAGACACCAACAGCAATAACGATTGCACAGCAAAGTGTTCAGGCCTATCAGCATTGAGAGACACGGAAACCTTGGTTCATGATGGTTCATGAACAAGAAAATCGAGCATGTCCACAAATGTTGGTCTACAATAATTGTCTACACTGATGCTAGACTCCAAGTTTTCTGCATGCCAGGAGACAAAATTGCCACATGCGGATGTACATGGTCTACGTGCTCTACGTGCTCTTCATGGCTTTCCTGAAGGTGCATCGTTCCAGGATCAGAGCTTTGAAAGATTCTTTGGGAAGTGAATGAAACTGGAAGCACTTTCTTCAGGGACATGTGTCAAATTGTGTCAAATAAAGATCATAAAGAGAATGAGCAGTAGGATCTCTTTGGAAAGGAGTTGCACAAACCATTACTGGATCCGGATCCTAGGTGTTTGGTAGATATTGTCTTGTTGTCCAGCAGCTCAAGCTTGACTCCTGCCACATTCCCATCATGCCGAATCACGCCCCCTGCTCAGTGATTGAACCTTCGAAAGGCATTCCTTTCTTTCTACGGATGTTGCTTGGTCAGAAAGCAAATGTAAATCCTGTATAATCCTGTACCGTATTCTGTGTTTTCTGCTTGCTGTGCCACTTCGGTGGACCACATCTCTCCAGCGAGGGCTCATATGTTAGGGGCTCGAAATGGGAGGGCCCGGAGGGCTGTGATTTCAACAAGTTTCTGCCGGATCATGAGCAGCTGAGGTAGTTGTGGCTGCTGCAGCCAGCAACTGTCCAGTTGCAACCAATATCCATAGCGTCCGCATGGCAAGTGGTTCTAATGCATCCTAAAGCCTGCGAATGTGTTGACACATTGATCATTGCCCATGTTTGAGGCAAGTCATGAAAAGATCAGGACAGTTTCTTTCCTCTCATGTGGTGGTTTCTAGAGCATATGCTACCAGCATCGTCTTGATTATGCATGTTGTCAGTCAGTTTACACATATACTCACAGTTTTTCAGATTGAATGACATGGTAGTTTAGCGGTTAATAATCCTGCAGCGGGGCGAGCATGTTCACGCTGATCAAAGTCCTATCTACTGTCCAAAGAAACTCACCTATCAAGGCAATGAATGACCAGATATTTGCACCTCAGCATATGTCAAGATCCTTGTCAACGCCAGTTTTGGACACAGGTGTTTTTCCTTCACACATATGAGAAAAGTGTCTTCCCGAACTTGCACAAGTGCCTACGTGCCATTGTATGTTCATCAAGGTATGCGTCACAGCCGGCCATCACACTACTACTACATCTCACAAGCCTCTGTTGACTGCATGGGATCGGCACGACCCACGGCACTGTTGCCAGTGGCCCAAATTATGACATGAATGGCGACGTTTCGTGAGGTTTCAGTCTGAATGACATGAGATGTCTTCAAATTGGAGACTGGAGACCATCAGCGTCAGCGTTCACAGTTCGTATCAGGCAAATGAGAACACTAATCCGTGAACTCTACTTTTCGTATCTTGCTTGAGCCTCAAGTGCAGCAGATTCCAGCGCACGGATCCTCTACAATCTACATCTGCCCACAAGTGACAAGCATCCTATGATTATGGGCCCTACGGCCTGTGCCCCTGGTGCAGAAAGCATGCCTCCAAGACCCTCCACACATTTCACGGTGACACCCTGATGTGATCCGAGCCAAGACCACCTTCAGCAGTCTCAGGCCCCAAAAAAATGACATGCTCGGCCACAAGATTGTTTGACTTCAAATCACACCGGAGGCGCTATGCAGCTAGGCCCAATAAAGATGTGATTAATCGACTTGTTGCACCCTGACAATCCAGCTGACCTGGCATTCTGTGAGCTCATATGAACTCAGTCACTGCATTGTGCTCCGTGAGTTCTGGAGCTCCAAAGCGTGGTGAGGATCGGCTCAAAATGACACTGCCAGGCTCCCATGGGTCCATTAGGGATGATTATTAGATTTGGCTAAGCCATAGAGACCATTGAAGACCATGCTTGGCCTCAGCAATGTGTTTTGCTCTTTGCTGTGTGCAAGTGAAACCTCTCAAGCCTTCAAGGCTCAAGAAGCGCATCTTGACATAATCTAATATGCCCATGGTCATGGGCTGGGCAAGTGTGGTGAGGCACATCTGGAAAGGCTGTGCATGCTGTGCAACTTTGTTATATCATTAGTCTGTTTGGGGGGTCTGTTTGGGGGGGTTCTCTACATCTACTTTGGTTAAGCAGCAAATTTCCAGGAGTTCCTCTAGCGAACAGCTCCAACGCAACCACCGTCAGTGATGCCATGACAGGGGCTGCTTTCCTGAAAGGCGCTCTTCTGGCCATTTAAGGATATTTGATGTGCGGAAGGGGGAGACTTGGAAATTCCACTCACAGCTCATTGAACTCTCTAACAATCAAAGCTACCCCGCAAACCTGAACTAGATAGGTACTAAGGATAAGCTCACCTGCCTCATCGATTTCCTGTCTGCGGGGGCGTCATGTCTGGAGTCTCAGCTGCTGCTTAACGGAAGTTGCATGTGAATCAGCTCACTCGCCGATTCTACACATCTGGACAATATCTACCACCATAGGAGGCAGGGATCCCTATGTGTATACATTATATATATATATACTGTTATGGAGCGAAAATCAGCAAAGGCCCCCACCACTGTCAGGGCCATCAGTTGCTCCAGCTCCACCTTCAGATTCAGAAGGATGAAAATTCAACAATGATGTTGCGGCTATTTCCTGAAGATTTAATGGAATACAAGTGGAATAATAATCGAACAATAGTGGAATAGTAATGGGATAATGATGGATAAATAGTAAAGGGATAATAATAAAGGGATAATAATAAAGGGATAATAATTGGATACATCACCAGCTTGATATGATATGCGGGTTTGTCTGAAAATGGAATATGCCACCAAAATAGGGATAATGATGATTATCGAACGGATTTATATAAGGGTGCCATATTTTCAAACAAACCCATATTATGATGAAGTGATGAAACTGGTTGAAGTCAGATCAAAAAAAACATTGAAGTAGCCAGGATGCCTTCCTGAAATCTGCACCTTTTGAAACTGCTAAATTTACCTTTGAGATCTACACCCGCAGGGCTTCGTTCTCGGAGCGCAGTCTGCTGTTTTCCTCCAACACCTGCATTCAGTGAACATCTTCAGGTAGATTCATTAGTCCCGACAACCTTGGCATGTCTGGGATGTCATATGATTTCATGCGTGCATGTAAAGGTCCATGGCCCTGAAATCGCCTCGTTCACTCTCTCTTGGATGGTTTCGGGATCCTCATCCTGACAGCTGGGGTCAGCCGAGGTGAGCGATTGCTGAAGGGATGGCGGCGGCCTGGAGAGATTGCGAAGTCTGTGAGGCCTCAACCACAGCAGGAAAGATACAAAGGTCAAAAAGTGAAGGGAATGTAGGAGTGCGACGTGAGAAGTGAGCTAAAACTGAGTTTGAGATATCATTTTTGCATCAAAAGTTCGGACAGAAATGTCAGAAGTCCTTCGCTTGGATAGACCCAAAATATTGTGGGTACCAAGTGATGTAGCGATTTCTTGTGAGATGCCTCAGCTTCTGCTGGAAGGACAGAATCATCAGAATCCTGTCGCCAGTGTGATGTTTCAAAAAAAAGAACACTGGCGATTTCAGCCGACGCCGACAAAGCGTTGTAGCACTGAAATATTTTGCACCTTCGGGCACCTCGAGGCCGGGCGATTCAAGTCATCCGAATGTTTGTGAAACTGTGCCCGACTGTGCGACAGTGTTTAAGATTTGAAACTAAAGGTTGAACATCCAGAAGGTGAAGTATGCAGTCACCAAATTTACCGAGCTCAAAAGGAAATTGAGAAAATTGTAATGCAGTTGAGCTGCTCTTTCTTCAGGTACTCCTCCAATCGGCCATCCTACCAGGGTTCCAAATATAGACAAAGCTTCAAAGTTCGGTCTGCTAAATCCACTGACATCATGGATCGAAATGGCTTTTAAGCTAGGCTTTGATGTCCTCCGCTGCAGTGACAATCAGATTTCGAGCCTACCAATGACTCAACTAGACTTGCTGCCAGGTTGCATCCAAATTCTGGTTTTCTCATCGAGGCAACGGTTTGACATGTGTACATCTGTTTATTAAATCACACCGAAGTCCTTTGATGCACTCCAGCAGTGTCTAGTTCATGCTATACAGTCAGTGCCACTCTGCAAGCTCTGCTTTGACAGCCTCTTCCACCAGGGTGCCACTGGTCTCGTTTTGAACCTGCGCTGAATTACGGCGTCCAAGCGGCTCAAGAAGAGGTCTTAATCCGTTACTCCCAAGCTGTAGCTGTCAAGCACTTTGACATTTGCCACACTTGTGCCTTCTGCACGAAGTCTTGGAACTCCTGCACTCTGCACTTTCCAGTGAGTTAACCACATTTAGCCATCCAAAATCATCACTCATCAGTTGCTGCGCTGCGAAGCAGATTCTCCTCTCGGGTGATGACCCCATCTTTGTTGGTGTCAAGCTGGTCAAAGGAGGCTGCAGCGACAGCTGCCTCAACCTGCCAACTACTCGATCACAGAATGATAGAAGTGTGAAAGGAGTGGAAACTGGAACCTAGTTGGGAGCAGGTCCATTGAAAATCATTGGTAACCTTGAAGTGAATATATGATACATTAATTCAAATGTGAAACTAATTTCCAGCATCTTACAGCCCTGTTACCACAAAACTGTCACCTTCTTCTTTCGTTCCTCCTCCAGTCGCAGCTCCTCCTGCAGGGACATGGGGTGGACAGCCGACACTTGCTCCCAAGCCAGGGCTGATTCCTGAAGTAATACATTATATATATATATATAAACTTTAGATAGATATACATAATACCTGGAGAGGAGAGCCTAGAGATTGGCTTGCTTGTTGCAGGTTCTTGTACCATCACAGGTCACAGGCACGTGCCATGTGCAACTCTTCGAAATGTCTGGAAACACTTTACACAGGCAAATGCCAAAGAGCAAACCCAAGCGCGACTTCTTCTCTAGCTGTCGGTTTGATATCCGAGCAGCGCAGTGACAAGCTGGGAATTAGAGGTTCACCAAAGGCGCGCTCCAAAGTTTTACAGCAACCGTTCAACAGGTGAAACGGTTGAACCATGTTGGACAAGTCTTACCCATGTTTAGCTTCGACATCAGCACCTCCTTCTTGCGTTCTGCTTCCAATCGAGTTCGTTCCTCACAGAGTGCGAAGGCAAAGCCGCAGCAACAGCTTCTGGGCTTTGCTGATCAGAGCTTAGGCGTCACAATTTGTTCTTAAGGAAGCAGGTTGGTTCATCGTTTGATTTGCTTTTGCCAGTGTCTTCATTGGTGCAACCCAGCACTTTCCATCTGAATGCCTCACATGATCAAATGTTCCCCTGGACGGGCCTCCTCCTCTTGCATGTTGCGGACAACGGTGTCAGTGCTCTCTTTGGCTAGATTCGTAGACTCCACAACCTTGAAGATACAGCTGAAGCGGCTGAAGCCGACAAAAACGTGCTTGAGGCTCGGAGATCATGACGAATCTATTTGCAAAGAAAAACTGGTGGTAAGTCCCAAGTCCCAAGACATGTTAATAATCTGTTAATATATTTGAAGCAATTTGAAGCATCTCCTCCCACAGCCTTTCCAAGCCTTCAATGGCCTCTGCACTCCCCTCCTCCTTCCACGCTATTCATGCCAGAGCAGCTGTCGTCATAGCGTCTGTCGCTGATCCGGCCTCCTGGCACAGTTTGAACATGTTTGAAGAATGAAAACGGGATTTCCACACCCGATTCCCTACGACTGCTACACACAAGTATGAGCTGAAGATCCCTCAAGAGTTTCTCAAGTTCCAGCAGGTGTTTCGGCCTCGGGATGGTTCACCACTGGCCCCCGTTCTGAAGCAGTGGTGCCTGAGCTCGGTTGATACACATGAAAGCATTAGAAAGCATGTAACATGGACACCAGAAACATCCAAAAGCTGCCATTGCCCATGTCAAACTGACTCGCCGGCCTAGTGTCCAAAAACTCTTCCAACAGAGATATTTTCTCGCAAATCCCTCACTGCAGCCAAGTTGCCGATCATCGAGGCCTCGGGCCTCTCCACTTCTGGGTGAACCACCACTGCTGATGCAAGTTTCGTCTCTCCCTGACCAGCTGAACCAAAGAACCGCTGCAACTTTCAAAGAAAATGGTGAGTCAGCACAAAAGTCTCCCAGGTCCCAGCTGTCCAGTCTCATTTCCACAATGACACAAGGAGACTTGCTCATGTCGTGCGCTTTTGCAGGACACGCTGTTGTTGAGTTTTTGATTGCGTGAAGCGAACAAAGAAACAAGAATCATTAAGACAAAACCCAAAAGGTCTTTCCAGGTCGTGAAGTTCAGCTTCACCTCAACAATTTTAATCCGAAACTACGTGAGGCTCCTGAGGTATCGAAAAGTGACACCATAATATGATATAATTTAATTTAAAAATTTAATATGTGTTTCAAGCAGCTGGCTAAACTTGAGATGGCCCCCCCAAGCCACAGCCCGCCTCCGATGCCAAGGTATTGGTCACCTGGCTCACGTTCTCATCAACCTGAACCGTGAGGAACGGAAAGCACTTTGGATATCAAAAAAAAATTGTGAGGAAACTTCCTGCATTCCATGGAAAAATCAGCACTGCACAGTTTCTGTATGTTTCTGTGCTATCCATAGATATCCGCTATCCAACCTGGCTGGAAAGGTTGTGAACAATGTCCTGCCAGCAAGACACAAAGTTGTACCGAGTTGTATCACCCAGAAATATGCAGAAATATGCAGAAATATCATGAGATATCTACCCTGCATTGCAGAGACAGTCAGAGAGTTGCTGAATTCTCATAAACATATCATGAGCATATCATGAACATATCATGAAAGATTAACAAATCTCAATTAACAGATCTCAAATGATCTCAACATGTCCTTCACTGCAAGGGCATTCTGTTGCTCTTCAAGGGCCGACTCGTGAGCGGAGGGCGTTCTCTCTTCCTCTCAGGCTATCAAGGACTGTGAAAAAGCTGCTGCCTCTGTGTTCTTATGATTTTCTATGATTTTCTCAATCAAGTTGGAAGAAGGCTGCTGAACTGCTGCTGAACCCTCTGTATGATTTTACTTGAGAGGGGGGGGACGAAAGGTAGGGGGGGAAAAGACAGGAGGGAGAGGCAAGAGAAGGTGCGACTGTTTGTAACGCAAGCACGCCGACGACGACGACGACTACTACTACTACGACTACTACTACTATGACGACTACTACTACTATGACGACTACTACTACCACTACTACTACTACTACTACCACCACTACCACTACGACTACGACTACGACGACTACTACCAACCCCTTACACTACCACGACCACTACCTACCACTACCGCTACTACCACTACTACTACTACTACTACCACCACTACCACTACGACTACGACTACGACGACTACTACTACTACTACTACGACTACTAGTACTACTACTACTACTATGAGGACTACTACTACTACTATGAGGACTACTACTACTACTACTACTACTACTATGACTACTACTACTACTACTATGAGGACTACTACTACTACTACTACTATGAGGACTACTACTACTACTACTACGACGACAACGACGACGACGACGACTACTACTACTACTACTACTACTATACTACTACTACTACGACGACTACTTCTACTACTACGACTACTACTACTATGTGACGACGACGACGACTACTACTACTACTACTACGGCTACTACTACTACGACGACGACTACTACTACTACTGCTACTACTACTACTACTACTGCTACTACTATTACTTTTACTATTACTTCTACTACTACGACTGCTACTACTACTACTACTACTACTCCTACTACTACTACTACTACTACTACTACTACTACTACTACTACTACCACTACCACTACCACTACCACTACCACTACCACTACCACTACCACTACCACTACCACTACCACTACCACTACCACTACCACTACTACTACTACTACTATTACTACTACTACTACTACTACTACTACGCCCAGGCCCGTTAAACTTTACATTCAATTGGGAAGATCAACAAGGGTATTAGGGAATATTAAACTCCCACCCCGGTTAAACTTTACATTCAATTGGGAAGATCAACAAGCGGATTCATGACTTCGTGGAAATTGCGTTGAAGAGTTTGCCGATTTCTAACGTTAGATGTATAAGGTAGGCATTTTGGACAAGAATCGGTTGGGAAGAAACTTTTGGAGTTTGAAAAGCTCACCCAAGCAGCTGGAATGTTTGTGTGCTTGTTGTTGGTGAATCGTTATTCTTGTAGGTATACCGTGTTGTCAGCACGCGGACTCGTTGGACGGGCCTCCAGGGAGCCGACTGAGCTAGTTGTTGACGCTGTGG